CAGAAGAAAAAATCTGGAAATAGATATCGAATGTATACCTTGATGTTATTATTCGAACAATATTCACAAGCAATTGGTTTTCGAATTTAATTCCTTTATGACATGAGAGAACATTCAAGATTTAAAAAATTACATAGTTAAATCACATACACTGGTGACTGGACAACCCAAGACACTCGATCCTGCCTCCGGATCCTGCTGGATAATACAACCGATCGACCCAGACTACCGGATGATCCCGGGTTCACAAGTGCTTCAGCACATATTTGACCGGATTCCATCAGATTCCGATGACAAGGACCCCACAAACATCTCTCATACAAGCGTTCTTTAATCATAAGATGAATCAACTGTAGTATTCAGAAACACGTACACCAACCGAAACGACTACGCCTGATGAATAATGGTACATAATACAAATCCTCACCGCTCAAACGGGTTCACAACATACATTTCCCCCAACAGCAATCACCCTAAAAAAAATTGTAACCCGAAAACAACAACATCTGACTCACTAATACCCACACTTAGAATGATCCAAAACCAACCTACTATACATCATATTCATTAAACACATTACCAACCCGTTTATTGCGCCATCTTGTTGCATTTCAGTTTTTGAAAACATATCCCCTGACATCATTTTGCACCCATCGAAATCATTAATAATTCATAGAAAACGCATCGGAGTATCATTTTGGATGATCACCGCTTTCTTTTTCATTAATCATTACCATTGTAAACGTCATTGAAGAGTTATCTTGTTGCGTAAACACGAACACAAAATCACTCCAAACATAATTTTTGAGGGATCGAAAAATTCACTAAGACAGAGAATCGTTCAGAAAAGTAGCTTTTCTTCATGAAACAGGATTTTGAGTGACATCGGAAAACTATTTAATGGTATATGGAATTGTTAATATTATGTGTAAGCAATATTCGAGCGTCCGCAAAAGCGTTTGTTGGTGATTCGAAGTGGTGTTTTCGGTCTTGCCAGATCGAGGAGACACGTGCTGCCGGCGTTTTGAACGATGTCGAGTTGCAAGGACGAACAACAGAGTATGCATATATAGCAAGTTTATCTCGCCCTGGGTAATAATAAATGATTCTGGGTTTCTCGTTAGACCTGGAGATGATGGATGAATCATGTTATAGTAGCAGGAGTTATGATAAACGACTTGAGTGAAATTCATTCGGGTGGATAACTTCGCGCAGCATCAATAAATACAGGATCATGTTGCTCATGTGGATGAACTTCTCATAAATAACCTATTGGATAAACCATAATTTTTAATTTATGCCTATCATCGCTTGTATGAGATGTTAACTAACGGTCTGAATGGATCACAAGATCTTTCTTTAGCATCTGGTAATTAGTTGTATATGTTGTTGGTCAGATCTGTGTTTTAGTAAGTGGCTTAATCCGGTGAGTAATACCGTTTGTTTCTGATACGATCCGATTGGTTCCGGTGAGACTGATTAAGTCGGATCTACCAAGAAATCGAGCGTCATGCGGCACGCGGATTCCGGTAAAGTTTCGTTACCGGTTTTTGTCGAATCACGTCGTATACGCCCCAATCGTATCATCTAACCTGATATTTTCCGGCAATGTAAATCTGACCGGTTCTCGGAGAATCCGGTAACCAGATTTGATAAGAAAACAAAGAAAATCATCGGAATTCACCAGAAATTAACCGACCGAATTCGGTCACCATGTGACATCGGAAATATAATCCGTCCGACAAGATCCGACTGATCGATAATGACCTTGGACGGTGCATCTATCTAAAGTCTTATTCAGACGTACAATACGTCTCGTTTTTAGACATAGTGGCCACAGACAGAAAACCGTCTAAAGATTCTCTTTCTCATAAACTATTATTAAAGCGATTGACCACTAGTTCCAGTTTTTTTTAAATTTCTTTCGTGGTTCTGTTAACATATTTTTGTTACAGTTGACATGAGAATTTAGTTGAAATTGGAATAATAGATTTAATTAAAGATAAAGAAAATAGACAAAAAAGAGAGCTAAGAAAAGAAAAAAAAAGATTTTCGAAAATCAAAATGCAAATAACATTATACGAACGATGTGGAAACTTTGTCTATGAGTTAAATTTAGCAAAGTATTGTTGAATTAATCATAATTTTAATTTCTTTTTCAAATTGGTGACCAAAACAAAACAAAAAATTTTATTTCTTATTTTTCATTTATCTCAATGCGCTCTCATATCGCTTGTATGCGTCATATAGTAATTAATGTATCTTGTTCAACTGATACTTTAATATTAAAAGAAAATAAAATACTTCATAGATTATGATATTAATGTTACATCATCAAATAAATACTTTTATTTATCCTAGTTTTACATTCTAAAAAATTTAGTAGAATCTATTAAATTCTAATTTTTTTATTATCATTTCGTTATTAATTTGACTTTTAACAGTAGATCTTCGTCACTATGAACCAGACAATGATCAACCATAAATTATGATATTTCTTTTATATTAACTTATTTATCTGTTGAACGAAGAACCATTGCCGATAATAACACATCAAATGGGCTAATATAAGAAACTTCTCTATTAATTTCATTAAAAATTTTAAAAAAAAATTCCTTTCCTTCCATATCATTCGAATTAAAAACCGTTCCATCCCCATCCCAGCTGCTCGAGACCCGTACTTCGAAATAACGATAGCGAAAATCTTCTTCTTTTCTTCGAGTATAGGAAGAAAAACATCAATGTCCCTATGTCCCAATGTCCCGAGCATTAAAACATGAATATCTATTCAGAATCTTTGTCGTTTTTCTCTCTTCAATCAGAAAAAATAGACACAATTAATCTTGGGAACAGAAACGTTTTTTTTAGTCTACATGCTGAATCAAATTATCTCATATGACTCACTAACAAAATTTTATTTCTAGGAATCACTTTCTCACAGCATCTATAGAATAATCAACAATTCCAATCTCAACTAGATTCTAAACTCTACTGCCACATATGCATATATACACCTGTTGTTTACAACGATAAAGTTGCATATACCATACGTGATAAACTAAAGCTTTTATTAGACTAATAACTGAATAGTGGTTTACTACCTATCAAGTGTATGTGAACAGTTAAAATTGCAATACATCAATTACTCGTACTAGATCTTCACAAATTCGAACTATACACATATCACATATGTTTAAATATTCCAGATGCTTTATGGCCATCATTAGTCAGCGTCAAGTATATATAGCAAGTTTCTATTATGCTTATGGTTCAAATATTAAAAAAATACACCACGACTTTATTGATTCATAAATACGAATGATATTAAAAAATATGCTTACTTTTGTTGATCAATCATTGTAGTAGTGTCAATTCAGGCTGATCTTTTTCAAATGAAAAATATGATCCAGGAGGGACTTTGAAGGTTATGGTGTCGGTGAATAAAAATAGCATTTTCGTAATTAGCATGATCAATTACCTCATGCCCATTGCGACTTCGGGACGATGCCTCTTACCATAAGCAAAAATAATTTTGAAAAAACACAATGCAAAATGAACGAAAAAGACATGAGTTGTCTAATTCAAATTATAGCTAATATAAATAAAGTTCGCAATTCATATCATAATTTTGCAAACGACATTCGACCTAACGTAAGGTTGACTTACTAAAAGCAGCATCTGTGATGCTACAGGCACTCTGAAGTATGCTATAGCACCACATTTAATGTAAGCGAGATGTCTATCAGAATCATATATCGTAGCGTTTGTCAGAATTCCAGTGAACAAGTATTTGCAAAGAGCGTTCCCCTCGGGACTTATCAGGATACTACGATGTATGATCAGAATATAAATAACGATCCTTGTCAGTTCTCAGCAGAAAATTAACTTAAGGAGTACTACTTTAATTATATAGTACTTCATAATGCTCAGAAAAATATTGGATAACGTAACTGATGCTTCTCTATGTAGCATCTGACTTGGTACTTGTAGCAAACCAATATTCTGAAACTTGTGTCTCATGATATAAATTTATACACGGCAGAATTGTTGTTTTTGTGCTGCATGCAATTGCTAGCATGTTTTTTTTTCTTCAAATTACAATTATATTTGAGTCGCATTAGACAACTACTCATAGATTGAGTAATTACTTTTGCATTCTTACACTATGATCGATTGGTGTGAGAGAAGCCAATAAAATATTCTTTTACCTTTAAAATCTTATTCTTATAGAGGCCCTTTTTTTATCATGTATTTATGTTCTGATTGCTTTCGTGAAGTCTTCGATAATTCGTTCTTGGATTGACACAATTTATTTTATAGCAAAGAATTGTTTTATACTAAAGGTAAATGCTAAGAGAAGTAAAAGCAACATATTAGAGTTTTCTGAGCTTTTAATATGTATGCATACACTTATTATAGACTCCTATGAGGCCAAACTGTTTAATTCTATTTCTATGATATTTTGTTTTTTATCATAATCGTAAGAAATACGAATGAAATTAGTTAGTTTAAATAAAAATCTATTATCATTCACTGCTAATATAATTTAACATTTTTGAGCAATTTATTGATCACGTGATAGATACATCCTCGTTTAAACCAATGAAGGCTAATTGGAAATTTCCATCATCAAGGTAGCTTCTAAAATACTATATCGTGATTTGTTGGACTTATATCCATTCTTCTGTCTCTCTCTCTCTCTGACACGGTAATGATTATTATCATATATAAAAATGAGTCATTAGCTAAAATAATACAAGAAAAAGTTGAGCATCTATCTATTGACTACAAAATTTGAATATTTATATGAGCAAGTAGTAAATATTTCAACAGTATATAGTAGTATTGAATCATATTTTCAGCGATGAGTAATCGATTCTTATAAACAACATAAAATATAATGTTAATTTTTTTCTAAACAAGCATAGTGATTTTAATATTAGTTTTACATATTTTTCTCATTTTAGAGACTGACATATATTTTATTCTCATTACTTAACATGGTGTCAACAATAACACATAGCCTCAAACGTAAGACAGTCGACGCGAAAAATGAATCACTCTATACAGCAATACGTTTTGCAAATGGTATTATGAAAACGATGGATAACGAAAGGTTTCGTTCTTTGGTGACTTCTAAACTTGATCACAAGAACAAACCGATAGATGTAGCTGTCCAACGTAATAAATGTGGTGAAACTATTAGAAAATGTTCTAATACGAAAACTACAACACAAGGCGAATTACAAGATCGTGAAAAAGAACTTGATGCTTTGGCAAAATTATGTCGTTTACTGATCTATGTTGTTGTGATAAAACCAAGTTTACGAGGAAACATTATACATGTGTTGAATTACGGTGCATTGGCAGTACCATATTCTGAATGTATTTGTATTCTTCGTGAAGAAGAAGAGGATCATTATGATCCTTTGTATGCAGTCAACAAACAAAATCTCAATGAAGAGATCACGCTTTTTGAACGTGATGAAAGAAACATTTCTGAACTTCTTACGATATTTATTCGAGAAGAACTCCATTGTAAGAAATAAGACATATATTTATACAAGAGAATTTTTCTTATTTCTTTCTAGATAACGACGATATACATTCAGATTGCAATAATAAATCGTTTATAAATGAACCAACAGCTGGATTAAATGGTAAATAAATAATCTTATTAGCTTTATTAAAATATTTGATTTTAGTCTCAAATGATGCTGATAATATATTTGATATGTTTACTTCCGGTGCCAATGAAAAATATTCGAACAAACGAAAAGATCTAGGTAGATAATTATTAATCCGTGCATTTTTCTTTAAACTCAAGTGTTTTAATAGATTATGGCAGTCTTGAATTTGCTGAAACTACCGAAAAACTTTCAGTAGTGATTAATAAACGTCAAAAATGTTCTACGCCAGGTGAATTATTGGGTATGTTGATAACTTTGATTTTCACGTAATCAATCTTTTCCTTTTTTTTCTATTAGATATGCCCATTCGAGAATCGATAGCTGTTGAGCAAAGTGCAGAAATGGACATTGATACTAGTGAATCAAGTGCGTATGCAAAATATGAAAAAGTTTTTTTGGTTAATTAGAATAATGTTAGATTCATTAATAGGTAGTCAATCATCAGAAAATGCTCCGCAGATTTCGAATAATGAAGAAGAAAACGAAAAAATGCGATTTAAAATTGAACCTCCTTGTACATTTCGTGGTCGTCTATTAAGCGAATTCGAGCCAACGAAAGTAACAAAACGTAACGGAGAACCATCAGAACCAGGACCACCACGTTATTTTGCCGATGAACAAAATAATAACTATCTCAATCTATTGGTTTGCTCTTATAATTAAATATACAATAATTATATAAGCTATGTTTTTTCTTGTCTATAGATTCCAAATTCATATCTTCCAGGTGATATATCTCGATATCGTCTTGAAATCTGCTTGGCTACACGAGAAATCGATGGCTATAGATATATTCATCCATATTTCAAATTTCGAGTACAACCAAGGGATCGCAAATCTCTACTGCTCAATCCGATATATATCTATTTCGATGATGAACTTAAATTAGAAAAAATATCGGAAGCATTACGACAATTACCGTAATTAAAAACAAAATTCACGAGAACTAATAAATATATAATATGATTATATGTGTAGACTTCAATTCATGATCGTTATGCATACAAATAAGGAGTTGATGGAAAGTGTACAACCGTTAACGGTCTTTTCATCACCAACGGATAATAATCGTACGATAAAAAAAGAAAATTTTTTTTTTTTAAATATAAATTACTTTTATAGATAGAAGAATGATAAGAACAAAATTTGATGACCAGAAAACATTCAAAGACGCTTATCATCTTAATGAAATATTTTTTGCAGTAACATTGTGGAGCAAAAGCCCTGGCGAAAATGAATTCCATCGACATGCTGATAAACAATATATTAGCCAGATGTCAGAACAAGATAGACATGTAAAAGCAAATTTTTTATTTTAATAATTTATTTTCGCTTTTTGTTTCTAGGCAAAAGTTCCGAAGAAAGATACAAAAGAACATATTGCAATTTATGAATATTTGTGCAGTTTTATTTATGAACAGATTGGAAATTAATAGTAAATTTTAGTTTTTATGTTCAATTATACTAATCTAAAAATTTTCTTGTTCATTCAACGTACGAAAATCTCTTTGTTATTTTTTATAATAAAAAAAAATTGGTTGCTTTAGCCACTGCCATATTTATCTTGAGCTCGAGTCATCGATATACGCGACAGCGCTAACAGTCTTACTAATAGATCGGTGATGTACATCAAAACACGATAGAGTTTGTGAAGGAGTCCAGTGTTTAACCATTTCCGACATCGTTTTTTTTCGATTTAGTAACACTTCACTCTTCATATGCCTGTGAGAGTTTGTCTCCTTTTTCTATGCTAATATCATGACAAAACTATTAAAAATTTTATCATAGAAAAAAGTATTATTTCTTGAAAAATAATTGCACATTTGTCGATTAATCACCAGAAGTAACGCGATTTACACACATTGGTTCGTATTAAATGTACGAAACAAGAAGTATTTTCTATTTTCCGCACTAAATATGCTGATTTTACTGTCTTAGTGCGACATCTATCAGTGTCCGCTTATTATTGGCCAGCGATTTGATTATTATAGAATAAAGTGAGGAGCCATCATTCGTTCGTTTCTAAACTATGTTAAACAGAATAAACTAAAAGCATACAGAAAAGTATTTTTTGCTCAACCTATGAGAAAAAAATCATCAGCTACTTACATATTAATTTGTATATTATTTTTTAGATCTTTTTTTCCTAACATGTAGTATTTAGAAAATTCTACTAAAGATTACAACGTCCAATGATGATGAACCAAGCAGCACCACCTTCACAACAACAAACAAGTATTTAAAAAAAAGATACACCCAAATCATTGAATTTAATTCTTAAATATATTTTCAGTGTACATGTCAAATTCAAATGTAACAGAGAATCAAATGATGAATGCGTCATCGAATTCATCACCATTAAATATGACAATGAATTCGGCTCAATCAAATTTATTCAATCATCAAATAAGTGCTTATAAGTATCTTGTTCGAAATCAAAATGTACCCGATCAACATTTGATGGCTATTAAGCGCAGTCAACAACAACCTACACAGCCACAACAGCAACAATTTTATCCACCCAATGCTGTTATTTCTAAACAATCGTCTAGTCCAACAGTCGACGCTCGTTATACTCCATCTATTAATACAAGTAAACCACCAGTAAATGGTTTAAATCCACGTTATCCAACTCCGCCAACTTACTATTCACCTGTTCAAGTTAATGGAAACTCGACAACAAATATAAATTTTCAACCAGGAACTGTTCAAGCGTCAACAAATATTATCAATCAAACACCATCGATAACTGAGAATGTCTTAACCAATGTTTCCAGTGTACCGCTTCCTCAAACAAATACAACAACGACGACAACTGCAACATCAACAACAGCTCGTATGAATAACAATCTTCGTTTAACACCCGTACTAAAGCCAACTGGTGTTGATATACAAGAAGTTCTTGTCGAACGTGATCTTCGTATTCAACATAATATTGTTATACGTATAGGCGAACTCGACAAACTCTTACCAACTTTATTGCACGATGATCTACGCATGAGAGCTATGATTGAACTCAAAGCGCTGAAATTATTAAATTTCCAAAGACAAGTTCGTATTTAATTTTACTCAATCATCCAGCGTGAAAAATACTAGCATTTTCAGACTCCGAAAGAAAACGATCGTCTAAGATTATCTTTTCAGGGCATCCTATATAATGTGGGCAAAACCTCACATTAAAATATAGCTATTCCATTTGACTACGAGGATTTAAGAATGTTTTCCGGCTTCTGTCACTGTTTAATATAACTTCTATTGTTTGTTTTTCGTTTAATTTAGCTTCGTACTGAAGTAGTTACATGTATGCGGTTGGATTCAAGTCTTGAAACGGGCAATAATCCTCGTTTATATAAACGCTCGAAACAATTTGGTATGCGTGAAGCACGTGCCACGGAAAAATTAGAAAAACAACAAAAAGCTGAAATCGATCGCAAACGTCGTCAAAAACATCAAGAATATCTAACAGCTGTATTAACAGTAGCACGTGAATTTAAAGAATTTCATAAAGCGGTTCAATTGAAAACAAATAAATTAGCACGTTCAATATTATCATGGCATCAAAATACCGAACGTGAACAAAAGAAAGAACAAGAAAAACGTGAACGTGAACGTATGCGTCGTTTAATGAACGAAGACGAAGATGGTTATAGAAAGTTAATCGACGAAAAGAAAGATAAACGTTTAGCTTATTTATTATCACAAACCGATGCATATATCATAAGTTTAGTTAATCTTGTTAAAGAACATCAAAACGATTTGAAGAAGAAAAAAAGTGAAAAAAGACAATATTTCATCGAGAATAACAATCCTCAAATAAAAGACGAGGGCGGTTATTTACGTGCTCGAGTTAAAAATACGGTTACAGGTGAAGTTAAATATGGAAGTGACGCACCATTATCAGCTGAATTAGATTCATGGTTAGAAAAAAATCCCGAATGGCTACCGGTGTCAGGTGATGGAAGTGATGTCGAAGAAGAAGATATCCCACAATTAGCGGAACCAATAAGTTCAATACCTGCGCCAACACCCGATGAACAAGAAAAAGGCGTCGTAGAAGATGAAAACATTGTTAAAGAAGTTTTAACTAAAGCTAAACAAGCAACAGAAGATGATGAATATCATACATCATCATTGGATTCATATTATGCGGTTGCACATCGTGTTAGAGAACGTGTTGTTAAACAATCAGGATTACTGGTTGGTGGTAGTCTTAAACAATATCAAATACAAGGTTTAGAATGGCTTGTTTCATTGTATAACAATAATCTTAATGGTATTCTTGCCGATGAAATGGGTCTCGGAAAGGTAAGTTTGTTGTTGTTGATCTAGCCTGAAGAATCTCATCATTCCTTGATGAAAAAATTTAGTTTCTGAGGAGAATTTTCTTACTAAAGGTAGGCACCTATAAATCGCTGTAAAACTGATAAGAACTTTTTCTTTAATGTCACTAAACACTGAAATTTTCAAATATTTAGACAATTCAAACGATTGCACTCATAACATATTTAATGGAAGTTAAAAAAGTCAATGGACCCTATTTAATCATTGTGCCATTATCGTAAGTTGAAGAGTCATTTTTTTTTCTTTATACATCGTTCCCGTTCTGTTTTATAGCACATTAGCTAATTGGGTTAATGAATTCAGTAAATGGTCACCAGCTGTTTCAATAATCATCTTTAAAGGAAATCCACAAGTGCGTAAATCTCTTGGACAAACATTACGAAGCGGTAAATTTAATGTGTTGTTAACCACATACGAATACATTATCAAAGATAAAGCACTGCTAGCCAAAATCAAATGGCGTTATATGATAATCGAGTTAGTAATTTTTTATTTTTGAGAACTTCTCTTTTTAATTTCTTTCTCAGTGAGGGCCATCGAATGAAAAATCATCATTGTAAATTAACACAAATACTCAATACACATTATATCGCTCCACATCGTTTGTTGTTAACTGGTACACCGTTACAAAATAAGTTACCTGAACTGTGGGCATTATTGAATTTTCTTTTACCGTCAATCTTTAAATCTTGTACAACATTCGAACAATGGTTTAATGCACCATTTGCAACAACATGCGAAAAAGTTGAACTCAATCCGGAAGAAACATTACTTATTATCAGACGTTTACATAAAGTTCTACGACCATTTCTTTTACGTCGACTTAAAAAGGAAGTTGAATCTCAATTACCAGACAAAGTAAAATAGTTGTTTGCTTCTGTTATAAGCAAAAATTCGACATTCTATAATTTAGATTGAATATGTGATCAAATGTGATATGTCTGCATTGCAAAGAGTTATGTATAATCAGATGCAATCAAGTGGAATGCTTCTTACGGAAGATAAAGTAAGCACGAACGATATATACGTTGATGAACTAGGGGATCGGAAGTGAAGATCCGTGGCTTGCAGTGAGATGATATAAATTTGTATTTTCCTGTTCTTTTAGAATGGCAAACCCAGTAATCCAAAAGCCTTGATGAATACTATCATGCAATTACGTAAAATATGTAACCATCCATTTATGTTTAATGAAATCGAAGAAAAAATCAGCCAGCATTTTAACTATACGAATGGTGTTTGTCTGGGGTATGAAGATGAATTTAGATTTCTTCAAATTTTGAAATTGAATATTTTTAGCGCTGATCTTTATCGTGCATCGGGAAAATTTGAAGTACTGGATCGAATATTACCGAAATTAAAAGTATCAAATCATCGTGTTTTACTGTTTTGTCAGATGACTTCTTTGATGACTATCATGGAAGATTATTTTGCTTATAAAAGTAAATATTTTTTGAATTTTCTGTTCATTATTAACTTGTTTTTTGTCATAGATTTTACTTATTTACGTCTTGATGGTCAAACCAAATCTGAAGAACGTGGCGATCTATTAGCTAAATTTAGTGAAGCTAATTCTGATATATTCATATTCTTATTATCAACACGCGCTGGTGGTTTAGGTTTAAATTTACAAAAAGCCGATACAGTCGTTATATTCGATTCTGATTGGAATCCGCATCAAGTAAAATCTTATTCTTTGAGTCAATTAAATATTTAATGTCTTTATTTCGTTAGGATTTACAAGCCCAAGATCGTGCACATCGTATCGGTCAAGTGAACGAAGTTCGTGTTCTACGTTTGATGACTGTAAACAGTGTTGAAGAAAAAATCTTAGCTGCAGCTCGTTACAAATTAAATGTTGATGAAAAAGTTATTCAAGCTGGAATGTTTAATAATAAATCAACAGGAAATGAACGGAAACAATTTCTACAACAAATTCTTTTACAAGAAACTGAAGAAGACAATGAAGAAGAAGACGAAGTTCCTGACGATGAAATTATCAATCAAATGATTGCAAGAAGCGAAGATGAATACAATCTATTTAATGTAAGAAGAAGCAAGAAAACAATTTTGTTTAAATTTTTAAAATTTTTTTGCTATAGAGAATGGATCGAGAACGTAGACATGCAGAAGCTCGTGTGACCAATAGAAAAGCACGTCTTTTTGAAATATCAGAATTACCAGCGTGGATAACTAAAGATCCAAAAGAATTAGAAAATGCTCTTCTCGATCAAGAAACATTGGACTTATTCGGACGTGGCTCCCGACAACGAAAAGAAGTCGATTATTCAGATTCGTTAACTGAAAAAGAATGGATTAAGGTAAGAAAATTGAATAGTTTTGCAGAGACTAGAAAAAAAAATGCAGTGAGCAGCTAATGCTTAGAATTACAAAACTTCAGTCGTCGAATGATTCAAGTTTTCTTTTATTGAAATTTTCAGGCCATCGAAGATGGAACATTGAATTCAACTGAAGATAAAAAACGTCGACGTCGACGACGTTTTAATGTTGACTTGGATGAAGATGAAGAAGGCCAACTGGATGATACCGATATGCGACAAGTTGATAATGATTTTGAAAGTATGGACGCAAAATCAAGTAAACGTAGTGGTAAACGTAAATTAAAAGATACAAGTCGAAATTTTACGAATGAACCGATATCATCGAAATTATTTAAACAATTACAAACTTTATTAGATTTTGTTGTTAAATATCGTGACAAGTATGAATTAACAGGTTTTTGTTTTCTTTAAGTGATGCTTTTCTTTTCTGCAGTGATGATAATCGAATTTTAAGTAAACCGTTTATGCGGTTACCAACACCCAAAGAATTACCGGAATATTATGATATGATTAAAAATCCAGTGGATTTTAATAAAATAAAAGTATGAATTTTAAATACAAAAGAATCTTTGGTTTTTGTTTTTGTAAATAAAAAATTTTGTGTTCTTTAGAAAAAACTTAATGACAATCGTTATCGAAGCATAGATGAACTTGAAGTTGATGTTATGCTTTTATGTAAAAATGCTCAAGAATTTAATATCGAAAGTTCAAATGTAATATTCTCGAAATAACAAAAAAAGAACTCATCGAAAATAATTCAATATTTGTTTTTGTTTAGATCTATGAAGATTCAATTATTCTTCAATCAGTATTTACCAATGCACGTGAACGTCTTGAAAAAGGCGAAATTCCAATTAGTTCAAATTCAGAAGAAGAATCTGATGATGATGGTAAAGAATAAAATTAAAAAAACGAACATTATTTCTTACTCTAATAATAATACATTTATGTTTAGAACCCCTAAAAAAACGAGTTAAAAAAGATGGTAGTACGAAAAAGGTAAGAAAAAAAATAATCACTGAGTATTTCGATAATGAATTTCGTTTTCTTTCTCACTATTTAGAAATCTCAAAGTCAAGCGCGCACACCTGGTAGTGTTAGTAGTAATTCAAATAGTCGACGTAAAACTCGTGTAATGAGCGATGATGAAGATATAACCATGGATGAAACAAATCAAGTATGTCTTAGTTTACCTTTTGTTCGTTCATCGAACTACTTATGTTTATCATTTAGTCTTCGTTTGACTGTTTGGATGATGACGATGATGATGAAGAAACTCGTGGCTCTGGTTCGCGTCAAAAATAAAACAAAATTGTCTATTTGTTTTTTTCTCTTTTTGGGTCTATTCCTGTTCGAAAAATTTCTGTTACTGTATGCGTGTTTTAGCTATACTGTAAAATTTGTGTGCGTTGTGCGTGTGTGTGTGTGTGTGTGTGTGTGTGTGTGATGTACAAAAGAAACGAAACGAAACAAATGAGCGTGAAATAGAAGAAAAGAGACGTTATCGTGAACACCGATCCGAGAACGAACAGTTTTAATATGCAATATTTGCATGAATAGAAAACTTTCTCTTTTCTCAGTCAATCTAAATCTCTCACGCATTTATTATTTTTCGGTTGTATATTCGTTCATTCTCCTTTTTTTTCTCACGAATGATGCGCTCGTATTTCGTTTTCTTGTTTTTCGTTGTTCTAATTATTATTATTCATTTTTTGCTCGATAGGACAAATAAGGAAACAAAAATCTTACACATTCATTGATAAAAAGACAAATAAATATATAATGACTCAGTGTCAAACACACACGAATTCAATTATTGTTAATTTCTAAATCAAGAAATGATTCACGGCTTGCCATTTCCGAATGATCATACGAGTCGTTTAGAAATTGCGTGTTTAATCATATCCTGTTTATCGTGAAAATACCGAACATCTATTTCGGGACAACACAGCATGCTCGCATTGTTCATCCGAGTTAAATTGAGCTATAGAATCTTAATTTCACTTACGTTTCAAACATCGATTCGAACCATGAAGTACATTTACAAAAATATTAATCTTTCTTGAAGCTGATTAATCCGAGCGAACAGTATATGATCCTTCGATGTTTATTTTGTATGTTTAGAAACTAGCAGACGAAAGACACTGTCTAATATTTGTATTATATGTATTGTTTAGTTGATTTAAATCTACTTAAATAATGGCAAGTACAAAAACATTGAACGGCTTAGTTGACGATGTGACATGTTTACTAATTTCTATTCACATTCGTTCTGTATATAGCTTATTAAGATAGTCTCGCCTCTGTCTTAAGCTTTTGTTGATCATTAATTGGGATGAAACGTGCTTGACTTATGTCTTATGAGGTGCCTATCGACACGTATAAATAGCCACTTCCTACAACGAATTCTTTCATTCAATTCAATCGCATTGGAATACAACAATGACTTTTCGGACTAGCTTCATAATTCGTAAGTACAATTATTCTTTCATCTAAACTATTGATTCGAGATTTTTCTTTAAACTATAGTATCTCTTATTTTCCATATCATCAATGGAATCTTTGGTTTATCTCTTAATGAAACAAGTAGTACAAGTGCATTGCCATCAGTACAAAATTCAACAGTAGTCGTTAAAAAACTTGCAAAATGTAAGTTTATGAATGAATGAATGATTTCTATTCATTTTTATATTAATCATAGATACACTTCAAGAAAAAACGTCAAGTATTCAATATCTATCTGAAGCTGGCTCACGTTGTGCTGGTAAATTATTTTACACTTGATAATGGCTTTTTCCATGACACTAATCTTTCGAAATATTTAGAAGATGGTTTCTATCCAGATAAAGATGACTGCCGAAAATTTCATGTCTGCTATAGTGGTACACAATCGGTTCGTTGGTGCAAAGAAGGAATGTTATGGGATGAAATTAAAATTGGTTGTGGTATGCAGAACGTAACGGTATGCAGTGGCGGTCGAAAAACATGGACTCGCGATGAAGGTAAAGCATTGTTCGATAGTTGATTTATGAAGAAAATAATGAGAAAATTTAGAAACTACAACAACAACAATTGCATCGAAAACATTGAAAGGAAATTATACGTGTCGATCAGGTGCAAATGGATTATTTGCTGATCCGAGTTCCTGTTCGATTTATCATTGGTGTGTTCTTGGTGTACTTCATTCAACGCATTTTTGCAATCCTGGTTTACACTTTTCAGCTAGTGCCAGTGGATGTGTTTGGCCAAAAGATGCTGAATGTAAGAATTTATTTATCGATGTTGACGGGGAACTTGGATTTTCCACTGTTTTAGGCGAAGGACAAATTGCACCACCTTATTCGTCAACTGAATGTGCATTAGGCAATTCAGGTTATTATCCTGATCCTTATGATTGTTCGGTATTTCATTATTGTGATGGTAAGATATAAATGTTTTCTTCTTTTTTATATAAGTAAATAATTTTCTTACATATAGGTGTTCGAGTTCTTAGTGAATCATTACTTTGTTCAGCTGGTCGAGTTTGGAGTTCACGTAAAGTTTATCTAAATTAACAATTACTGAAGAAAATAGTAATTTTTATTTTTTAGGATTAGAAAATTGTGCATGGCCTCATGAAGTACCTGAATGTATGTTTCGATTTTGCTGTTTGATAAGTTCCTATTGAATATATTTTGTAGGCGTCAATTCATGTCCTGCAAACTATTCAAGTCAAATGCGTTTTGCCGATCCAGCAGTATGTTCTCAATATATTCAATGTGTTGATGGTCATTTAGAACCACGCATGTGTCCACAAAATTTTCTTTTTGATCGTATTACAAAAACATGTAAGCCATACGATCAAGCTGAATGTCATGGTAGTAAACCAGATATATTTTTAACAACAACAACAACAACAACAACAGTTAATCCTTGTGAGTTTTATTGATTGGAACCGTTAGAAAGAAAGAACAAAAAAAAAACATTTCCATCAATTTTTCTAGATCCATCACAGGATTCGTATGACTATAATCCAACGGTTTCAGAAGATGTCATTAAAAAACAACGCATCTTTCAATTTAGTTGTATTGGTAAATAGAGTCGAATTTTTTTGTTTTTCAGTAAATTGAATTTTAATCTAGTTGACGGTTATTATGGTGATGTTTATGATTGTCGCATTTATCACGTATGCGTTGATGGCCGTGACCATCGATCACTTTGTGCTCCAGGTCTCGCTTGGGAATCGCTATTACGTTTATGTATGCCAGTTCAGCTTGTTAATTGTCAAAGTTCGAAATCAATTGAAGGATCACCAGGTAAATGGAAACTTCTTTTTTCTTCGTTTCATATATTAAATCTTCTTTTAATAGATTCATCCAAGAAAAAATGGCTTCAACTCTATACTCGTTCCGTTCTAAGAACAACGACAACATCGACAACAACAACAACACCAAAACTACCGTTTGCTTTACCCTCCATTTTCACTTGTGCTGGTCGTTCTAACGGTTATTACGCAGATCCAGTTTATTGCCATAAATTTCATTACTGCGGAACGGGTATACTACATATCTTGTTTTGTTTTTAGTCTTTATCTATACACATTTATTTTCATCATTTGTCTGGCCTTATTTTTTTCAGGCTGGCATAGTGTGATGGAATGTGATAAAGGCTTAGGATATTCGGCTCGAGAACATGATTGTATACCAATTGAACTTGTTAATTGTGGTGCCAAGAAGTTTCTCAAAAAACAAAATTAGCTCATCATTTGTTATACTAATATTCGTGTTCTTTATCTTTTATCTAATTATGTATTTAAATTCATTTAATCAAATAAAAATCTTCCTATATTGACCAACATATGTGCATTTTTCCCTTGTTTTTTTCTCGCACGCATTAGAATATTTTTATTATGCTATGATGCAATGCTCTTTGTATTTGACATAGAGAACATACAAAAAGAAAACGAGAGAAATGAAAAAACGAAAAAGAAAAAGAAAAAGCAAAGAAAAAAAAAAGAAGGATATTAATGTATAAAAAGATAGAAAAGAAACAAGCGAGTCTACAGTCGTCAGCATAGCCTAGAAGAAATACTTAGTAGTTGTAGATTTCGTCTATTTATTGTTTCTTCCATTCAAGGAAAATTATAGTTAACATTCAGCTGTTCTTCAAAAAAACAAAAACAAAATCAATTTGCTTATTCCATTAATTGCTTTGGATTTTAATTATTAATGATTTAAAATTTACTATAAATGTCTTCAATCGTTACCATTATTGATAATGACATCTTAGTGTCCACCTTACAAAAAGGACTGTATACACTTGCAGCTTGCTCTATTCTTGGTACAGCAGCCTATCTAGGTTACAAAGCGGCTGAACCTGAAAACAAAAATATTCTTCAAAATCGCAATCCAGAACTAAACGAACGGGTAAGCTGAAGAAAAACGAAAAGGACCGTAGCCGATCTCAAAGTATATTTTCCAGCTCTTAGAATCATCAATCAAGATTAAGTATCGAGATATTACCTATTAGACAGGGATACTAGTGCACACTTTTTTTATTGCACGGAAAGAACAGACTATGCAACGAGGGGTTTGGCCTTGTTACGTAAACGAATAGAAAAACAACACAAACAAATATGTAAAAAAAGAAAGGTAATAGACCAAAATGAAGAGGTTCGTTATAGTTTGTTACGGGGGCACACGAATGATAAGCGTCCATTTAGGAAGATGAAAATCCAGTTGAGTTGAAGAAGAAGCAAAATATATCGGTATACTAGCTGCCTTGCTTCTCTTCGAAGATTGATTAAAAGTCAGCAGTATAGCAAAACAAAAGATATACGATTATTATGGGTTTTTTTTGTATTGATAAATTTGCATTCGTTGCTTTGCAATAGATAAAAGAACGTCCTGCTGATAATAGAAACGCTAATAAATAAAAATCATGTCAGGCCTCTCTTGAAGTTTACAATCATTCCGTTCCCACTGAGTTTCTTCTCGCTGTTTATAATAAACTTATAGGCTTTTGTTTTCAATTGACATTGAAATTGTCTAATATTCTTTCGTAGAAAAAAAAGAAAAGAAAATGAAGATAATTTTATCAAGAATCACTTACGAAAGATAATAAAAAGGGAAGAGCTGCCTTGCCCATTTTTACAAATATTACCACTAGTCACGTTATGACTCATAGAAGGACTGTAGTGGGAGCCCCGGTATATGATGACTTGCTGCCTATTCTTATCGAGAGTTGATTATATATTGTGATGTAATTGACTTTATCATCATCCCTCCCGTTCCCTTTTTTTCTTTTGAAGGTTTTTATATAAAATGATTGCTCATCATGCAAAGACATGATCCATAGCAAATTTTGTAAAATAGACGAATCTGATTTCTCTATTATTACCTGATTGTAACAATGAGAAATTGAAAAACAAGATTTGCACCTAAATACATGTTAATGATATAATAACGAATGACAAATTGTATTTAAACATCAATCTGAAAGTCAAGAGCACCAAATGGCATATCTCACAAGGGCGTGTATTTTACTATCGTCTAATAGGAGAATATCTGGTAATATTTATAGCAAAAGAGTCTACTGTTATAAAAGAAAACGGGCTGATGCCAAAGAGAAAACACTTCCTATCGTATGTGTTTATCAGAAGAAATTCTTTAGGATTTATAAAAGAAAACGACGTGTTGTATAAATCGACTTAACCTCTTATTCTGCTTACAATAGAAGGCCATCATTTACTTGAAAATCTCCCGATAATCCAATGAATGTCGATTTTTTTTCACAGTACAAATTCTTAGAATATTGAAAAATATCAAATTTTTGAAGGTTATTTATATTCGAAAAAAATATTTGTCGTAGTTGCATATTTTTTCATGACTCAATAGAGATGTGCCCGTATTGCCTTCAAAATAATAAAGCTCTATAATTATGTTTTTTCTCGATAGCATTGTATTTCATTGGATTAAATTGCGTGTTGAAAATATTGTTGACTGCAAACCTTGACAACGAGCGACCTTGACAGTAATAATACCCTTTATTATATACTAAATGCTATTAGCGATTATTTATACAACATAAATGGTGACTTTGTTCTGTAAAACGTATGCTAACGTATGAGAGGGTCGCACGGGAATTCAAAGTTCTCTCTCTCTCTCTCTCTCTCTCTCTCTGTCTCTCTCGAACGTGTCATTTTCGTCAAATGCCAATGCCAATAAGGTGTGAAATTAAAAATTTCATAAGCATATATCTCAAATTGATTATTGAAATAGATTGAAACAGTACTTGAATCTTTGCGTCTTGACGATGATTCTTTACGACAAATTATGCAATTACTTGAGCAAGAAATGGATGCTGGTCTCTCTCCAGCTACACATGCCAAGGCTGATGTAAAAATGTTTCCAACTTATGTTCGAAATATAGCCAACGGATCAGAAACTGGTCAAGTACTTGCATTGGATTTAGGTGGCACTAATTTTCGTGTTCTACTTGTTGATTTATTACCTGAAGGAAAAGTTGAATTAACATCGAAAATATTCGTTATACCACAATCAATTATGCTTGGCGAAGGAGTGAATGTAAATGAGAAAAAAAAAGAAAAATTGTTTTTAATTTTCGAGAAAATTTTCATTCGATTATTTTAGTTATTTCGTCATCTTGCTGATTGTCTTGTTGATTTTATGAAACAAGAAAAACTGATTCAACCCGGTGTTCATTATCCATTAGGCTTTACCTTTTCATTTCCTTGCTATCAAGAAGGTCTTGCATCAGCACGATTAACATCATGGACAAAAGGCTTTACATGCGCAGGTGTTGTCAAGGAGGATGTTGTTAAAATGCTACAAAAAGCTATCGATGAAAAGGTATTTTAGTTTGAAAACAAAAAGGAACGATTTTCATTTCTTATTTCGTTCTCAAACTCTAGAATATTAATGTACAATGTGTCGCACTTGTTAATGATACTGTTGGCACATTAATGGCATGTGCCCATAAAAAGCCTCACACATCGATTGGTCTTATATTAGGTACAGGTACAAATGCATGCTATATGGAAACTCTAGATCGAATTGGTACATGGAATGGCGACTATGAGGAGCCAAAACAAGTGATTATTAATATGGAATGGGGTGCATTTGGTAACAATAAGCGTTTAAATCACGTTCGAACAAGATACGACGAAGAAGTTGATTTGTCATCCGTCAATCCAGGGAAACAAATGTATGAAGAAAAGAGTTTTCTGATGACAAAATCAAATCCGATCGTTTTCTTTTTCTAGTTTTGAAAAGATGATCAGCGGAATGTATATGGGTGAAATCGTTCGTTTAATCATACTTGATTTAATGCAACAGGATTTATTATTTATTGGTCAATGTGATAATTACGGAGATTACAAAACACCGTTGTTTACACGCGGCGGTTTTTATACGAAATTTGTTAGCACTGTTGAAACCGACGAAGGCATTGCATTTTCAAACACGAGACGCGTTCTTCAAGATATTGGAATTAGAAATCCAACGTTTGATGATTGTGCAATTGTACAACATATCTGCAAAAATGTTTCCAAACGAGCAGCGCGATTAGCCGGTGCAGGTAACATATATTATTATATTCATGATACTTTTAGAATTAAGCAATTATTTTCGTATCCTTCTTTTTGTTTTTGTGTTTATTCAGGTGTTGCTGTGCTCATTAATAGAATCAATAAGCCACATATAACTGTTGGCGTTGACGGTTCACTTTATCGTTATCACCCAAGATTTGAAAGAAACATGCAGAAATGTATAAAAAACTTAGTCAATAAAAACATAAAAGTCTGTAGTAAAATTCTATTGAACAAGAACAAAACACTAAAGCCCAAGTATCATGTTAATACATTTTAGTTTGAAATGTCATTGTCCAATGACGGTTCGGGTGTTGGTGCTGCATTGACTGTAGCAGCCGAAGTATTGTCATGTCAAAACGATAAAAATCATCTGACAATCAAAAACCGAAACAACGTCGACGATCACACGTGTAAGATGACGAATAGAAAAGAAAATTTGAAAAACTCGCGGACAAACCAATAAATTGCTTTATTTGGAATTCAAGATCTATGCTGCCCTCTTGCTTAACCTTTGTTGAAATCTATTATATTCACATGCCTATCTGTATTTTGTTTCATTTTGTATATTTAGCTCAAAATCGAATTAACCTTATCCAATGATCGCAAAAGCAAAAGGAGTACCGTTAGTTGCAATAGCATAAAGCTATTTTATACCAACACAAAAAACAGCAATCACACATTTACATCAATGTCCTACTTGGATGATCATAATGATAAAGTGAATCTTTTATACACAATTTCAAAAAAAACAACGACATTTATCTTAGTAGAGTAGGCATGCATATTGCGTAAGAGTCACTAATATTTTAGTTAGAATGTTATTTTAATCATGCCGTTTATACTTTAATGTTTTCTTTCTTTTTTTGTATAAAAAACCGATTTTCTATATGCTCAATATTTATAGTGTTTTGGAAAGAACATGTGCGACTTTTTTCCTGTTGTCTGTTTTGTAGAAGAACTTCTTTTCTTGTTTTTTTTTTCTAATTTAAATTAGTCGATTGTTAATTTTTTTTAAATTTATGCTGTAAATGTAGATCATTCGTTGAAATCTTGTGTTTTGCTATTCAATGGGTATGTTAATTCAATAAGGAAGATTGGATCCTGAAATATTTAAATGTTTTCTTTATATTAACAATATTCTTGACAGCGAGAGATTTTCATTCTGACATTCGAACTCTCTGTTAGTAGTGATTGTATGCAATAGCACAAAGAGCATGACATACCGCATGTCACTTGCGAACTCGTGCATTTTAGACGCTCAAGAGATTGATCACATTCACATTAAGTAAATAATCTCGCTATCGAACTAATTATTTATGGTAGGAAAAGTGAGCTGCGCTTATTGTGCGTACGCATCGACCTATTCGAATTTCGCGTCGTTTACAATTAGAGCAGCATCTTTGTTTTTTTCGTCATGGTTGAATAGAGCCCGATCAGCTTAATAATAAATTTTTGTTTTCTCGTATGTCATGTACTGGCAAAGTAATGTTGCAAACATTCAAATCGAACATTTTCTTCTCGAGTTTCCGTACTACAACACACTGTTGTGTTTTATGTTTCAGTTTGCCATCATCTTGGATTTCACCACCACGTTATAGTTAATTTTAATTCGCTAGCAATGACTCATTTTGTGAGTATCCTACGCGTTGACAAGAAGGATATTTTTGTAGTTTGAAGAAAAGAGAAATATTTAAATGTTTTCTTTTCATTTCCATTGTAAACATAAATATTGGTAAAACTATTTGATACATAGAAACGAGTCACGTTACTGTAACGATGAATCATCTGCAGTTTATGACTGACTTTTTGATTGAGTTTTACTTCTTTTAGTTTATCTATCGAAAGTACATATCGTATAAGCATATTCAAGTAAACCTTCTCTTCAGAACTCTACATTCCATGCAACGGAACAATTTGTTAAAATCTTCTTGTTTACTACGAAAGCGACTTTTATCGTTTCTGATACTTGAATCCTGTAAGACGTTTTCTTTTAATTTCCGTATAAATAAATCGATAGATAGACAGAATCATCTTAACTATTTTCACATAAAACTACGAGCATGATCAAGTAGGTTTCATTTGACCAACTAGTACGAATGCATAATTTTATGCTGTTAGTCATCAATAGTCATTATAATGTGTCATCATTGCCTATGATACCATATTTTGACTCATTCTGAGTTATATTTCGAAGAATGACTATTGCAGTGGTTTGTTTCTTCTTCTTCTTCTTCTTCTACTCCTTCTTCGTGTGCGATTATTTCTTGTATGATGTGGCATTTATTGAAGGAAAGGTTTCTTTTTCCCTTATTCTCTACGTCGACAACAACACAGCCCACGCCATCCACATTTCTTATTAAAGACGAGAATTTCTTTAAAGAGAAACAAGCGAAGAGAAAAAAACAACGAGTATTTTTTCTCATTGTGACATTCACAGCAAGTTACTGTTAACTCAAAATTATGTTCGATGCCGACAAAAATACACACCGTCTGTGTAAACTGCGGGAAAACAATGAGAATAAAAGCATGTAGATTTATGGAAATTGGTTTTTATTGATTTCTTTCTTTCTATTAGAATATACGAAAATAGATGCTAAGATTTTGATATTCAGTATATGTTCAATTTTGTTTTAGATTTATTTCAATAAACTAATTTCTTTTATTCATGGCTGAGCAATGCCTATCTAATGCTACTGAGACTCCGTCCATTTCCCATCCGATGAAACAGCCAACTTCGATAGAAGCTCGTCATGTAAATACTCTCATTCGTCGTTCTCTATCCAATAAACTAAACATTCTTTCTCTAACTCCATCAACTACAATGACGACTGCTTCGACACCATCGACAGGTTCACTGGCGATGACTTGTATTGAATTAGGTTGTGTCGTTCGATCGATTCATCGTCCTCAATCTATAATGAATGCAACGGAAACGATCACGACGACTCCTTCTACTGACGAGGATCACGTATTTATGCATGATGTTAAACGACTCGAAGTATTGACAGATGCCAACAACTGTGCCTTAACTTTTGATAGTGACAACGACGACAATGATGACGATGATGATGATGATTCTTTTGACGATGAAGAAGAAGCTATTGTAGCTGACTCTCTTAATTCTTCATTGTCTTCAACTATGTTGAATTACGTTCCTATGCCATGTCCCATTTGCCTCGAGCAAGCATCATTACAAACAGCTCCATGTTGTACATTTTATTGTTGTTCTTCTTGTTGGCGTTCTCACATTTCAGCTTCATTAAATGATGGTCGCATTAAAATGTTATGTCCATCGAATGAATGCAACAAATATTTGACGAGAGATTCTATTGTAAATTTTCTTCGTTATGATCCAATATTATATGAACGTTATCATAAATTATATGATAATGCAAATCAAAATCCTCGTGCTAAAACATGTAAGTTAAATATTTGATGTTCTAGTCAAATAAATTCCTTTCTATGATTGATTTCATTAGGTCCACGTTGTTCACATCTTTATTCACTCGATACAATAACACCTGTTAAACTAAAAAAACATAAGAAAATTCCCAAACAAGTTCAATGTTCCGAATGTTCGCTTGTGTGGTGTTTTCGTTGTTCGGCACCATGGCATGATAGTTTAACATGTAAACAATTTATGAAAGGCGATAAACTTTTATTAAAATGGATTAAACAAAAATCTGAAGAACAACGAAATGCAAGAAAATGTCCAAAATGTTCTTCATTTATACAACGCGCTGGAGGTAAAAAATTGAATATTTTCATTTTTATATAGAACATCTTTTTGTTTTGTAAATTAGGTTGTCCTCATATGACATGTTCATCGTGTTCTTGTGAATTCTGTTATTTATGTGGTCGACGTTATGTTAAAATTCCAATTATTGGCCAACATAGTAATAAGCTCAGGTTCGTTGATCTTTGTCTTCTGAAATTAAACTAAAGAAATTTAATTTTAACTAGTATGTTTGGATGTCCATATAATCTTCATCCGGACAGACCCTGGCTACGTCGAACCATTCGTGGTATGGTTGCTACGGGTGTTATTGTTGCATCACCTATTATTGTTGCTGGTGCTGTAACTGCAGCTGCTGTTGTTTTACCACCAGTTGGCATTTATAAACTTGTTAAACGTATACGTGCTCGACGTTCGACAGATATTTTAATGCGATCTTTTCGTGACGAACAAAATTTGTTAAATGGTATTCATATTCAGCAATTGCAAAATCCTCTACTGGAATTCGATTACAACGATGAACACATTAGTGCTGCTGCAAGATTAGCTATCTTACGAGAACATTATGAAATAAGATCTTTTGCACAAAGAAACGAAGAAACTATCAATGAAACATTTCCATTAGCAATATTTGCCGATATGGATGTTGAAAATTTAACTTCCGATGATGATAAAATCCCACCAGGCTTTCAAACGTGCCCAACGACACCCTTGCTTGACAAACGAAAAGTTCGTAGTCGAAGTTTAAGCAATTCAGAACCTATAATTCATCCAAATATTAATCGTTATCATTCAGTCTCGTTAGAACATTAATTTATTTTTCGTTTCATAAAAAGAAAGAACGTGTGTTAAATATTTGCTTAGCATGATGACATTAAAGTGCATGTGCAGTACTACTGAACATGTCGTGTCTTTTTTTCTTGTCGAAGAAAAATGATTGCTGATGCTATTCGTACTGGACATTCATAGAATCTCTAGTCCGGTGTTTTTTGCCGATTTTAATTGCTTATAATACCTTGCTTTGTTTTGCGTATACTTTCTCAATGTAATTACGTAGTTTCATGAAAATAAAAGTTTTGCATTATTTTTTACTGGAGTCTTCACTGTTCTGACGATGTTGCTGTTGTTACAGTTAAAAAAAATTAATTCTATCAATAAACATCGTTTGATAAAGAAGCGAGAAAATAGCTGAATTGGTTGGCTGAGAATAAATAAAAAAAGATCTCAAGAACATTATGGCCTATTGATTCATAACGATCGAGGAAACAAAAATCTAAGCTGTGATAGAAGGACTATTTGTCTATTGGACTGGATATGTCTTGACGAGTATGCACATACTATGTTTATGATTCCATATGTGGTTTAATATAAACAACAGAACGTGTACTCGAGGAAAATAAACGTATATTAAATTGTATCCGATCTAGTTTATTCTTAATAAAAGTAGATTGTAAAATATGAAACTTAAAAAAATATAAAACAGCCATTATTATTCATCATTAACATTCTCGAAAATAGAATCACAGAGTTGTTGATAGATTTTGACTTTTTTGTTCAAAGTATTCTTTGGAACTTTAGTCTAAAGTAGAAAAAATTAAAAATTAAAAAATCATAATATTTTTTTCTTACATTTTTATCTTCGATTGAAATTTCACTAATATATTGCTTTTCACTATGCCGACGAAATTCGTCATCATCACCCGTTCTGCTCCATGGTGTTACTGCAAAGCGAATTTCATGAAGATGGTAAACTGCTTTAAATTCTTCATGTTGTTTCTTAGCGAATATTGTTGTTATTTGTGTTGCATCTTAAAAAAAGAAAAAATTTATATTAACTACTGAACATTTATTAACTTACGATTATTATCTTGTGGTGATGAAAAAACTCGCAAGGGTTGTTCACTTTTCATTAATTCATTATTCTTTTTCATAACGACTACAAATTGAAGTCTAAAAATGTGAGAAAAAATGTATATTTATTAGATAATATGAATATATATTAATTACTTTAATAGTCGGAATAGTTCGGAATAGTGTTCTAATTTGAGTTGACTATTAAGATAGATGTATATCGGATTGACAAGTAGGCTTGCGCGATCTGTTGGATGTATTCGGAAGTTGAAGTACGGATTAATATAGGTATAGTTATTGATTTCTGGTGTAACTATACAAATTTCAAGACGATGCCGACGAATATCACCTGAGAAATGGGAATTCGGCAACTAGAGAAGAAGAAAAACAAAAGTGTAGCAATTATCTAGTTTAACTATTGGCATGTAATAATAACAAACCAATAAGTTCAAATAATTATTGTTGTTTCTATCAGGAAAGTAACGTGGTGGTCCAAGTTTTAATGGTTCTCCATTGCGGTCCTCCGTTCGTTTTGGTTCGAATTCGCTCAATGTACGACCACGAAATTCTAAAGCAAGTTCGATCTCAAATCGCATATTTTCCTGTTCAACTTCAACACTTGATAATTTTTGGCGACCATTAGATGAATCTTAAAAGGAGCTTAATTAAGCAATGACAACTTTTCATGCATTCATACTTTTGACGTGTGAAACTTCTTCAGTAGATTCCGGTGCATCTAGAAGAAGAATGATTAATAGGAAAAGGAAAATACTCAATTTACTCGATGTCGACATTTCAAAAGTATCGCATGTAGAAATTTTTTTTCGTTTATTCGAATCTATAAAAGATATTGTAGCAAATAACACGATTCGAAATATAATTGCAACGTACTATTAACTTCATTAGACACTAATGTTGACGGGCGTTTAATAGTAAATCCTTTTTTTGGCTCATCGTATGAAGTTGTACTGGCAGCAAAAGTAGCCAAATGTTCTATTTTACTTTCAGATGAAACTAAAATTAAAAAAAACAATAAATCAAACAAGTAACAATTGAGATGATTTTTTTACCCAGTGACTCATCGTCAGGTTGATGATCAACATCGCCTAGAAATATTACAAAACGAGTATTTTCTTTACGTTCAATATGTATTTCTTTTTTTTACAAGCAAGCGTTTCTTGAACAAATTTAGTAGCTAGTTGATAAATGTGTTGATCATCAGGTTTAAAAATTGTCATCTTTTCCATTGGGTTTTCTTTATTAATTGCATATAGGGAATCATAACGTTCATCATCTTCATCATAATAAAGATAAATACATTCTTTGAAGGGTACTACAGGTGCATCATAAAGCGAAACATGTATATCATCTTCTCCGAATAAATTGTTTTTCATTGAAATAACATGAATTAAGAATTGACATACCATAGCCAACGCTTTAATTTGTATTTCATCTTCTGGCAATTTTCCTGTCATGATCTGATTACAATAAGTATCAATAGATTTACAATTTGTGCCCCTTTGTATGACTAAGCTCTTTAGATTCTCATTTTTACGAATATAGTCAGCCACGAGCGAACGTAATTTTTTGTTATCCATGCTCTCCAGAGTTCCATTTGCAAAACGTATTGACGTATACAAAGATGCATCATCATTACTTTTGCTACGGTGGAATGTGTATATTTCTGCGGATTTCATGCCCCACAATATCAATCAAGGATGTGTCGCTCACTGTAAAAAAAAGATTTAAATGAAAGGTAATATTCGACTTCCTAGTTTCTTCTAGTTTTCAAAGCAAAAGTCAACAATGGTGTGCGAGTCGCAGGAAAGAGAAAAAAAAATTTGTCAAGCGACTGAGGCGACAACAGTCAACGTTTTCTATTTGCTCCTTGCTACGATTATGCTTGTTGACTAAGTCAGCTGTTACTACTCAAAAATATGAAAACTAAAACACAGAAAAAACAATTTTACATAGATTTCTTACCGAAATAAAAAATATGCGAGGATCACTATAATTGAGAAAGAGAATCGCAATGAATAATAGCTATAGTTCTTGTAACATAATATTTTGAGTTGGACATTTCCAACTAGAGTCGACCGTTTCGAATAGTAGAGTGATCAAAGAAAAAATTTCTTATTGAATAATCATAAAATAATACGATAAGAAATCCTCATTTAAATACTTCATTTTGTTGCAATATTTCGTACCACCAATACCATGATCAAAGTTGTATTTACCTATCTATGAATCATTCAGCATCATTTTCCAGTGTCAAATAATTCAGAAGATCTGAGTTATGAATCATATGATGATAATATCTTTTGTGCAAAGTACGCACACACACACACACACAATCTTTCTTTTTTGATTTATCTGAGTATCGGATTCTTCCGACGTATAAACTATACGAAAGAGCGAAGAATGCTTACTTTCGTAAGTGATAGAGAACCAAGTCTTGTTTTTCTTATCACCAATTTAAAACAAAGCCTTGCTCCAAATCCTTCTCTTGATAAATCTATACAAGACGCACAATGTCGGTCAAAACCAGCTTGTGTTGCAGCATGCACTGCTGCACAAGTGGCATGTATGAACGCCTGTGTCACAGCGTTCACAGTTGGTAGTGGACCGATTTAAACAGCACAACAAAGTTCACTCGTATGAGAGCAAGAGTTTTGAAAACATAATTACTCTAATTTGTTCTGAACAATACTACATCTTCTTTTTTTTTATCGCAAAGTTGTTTCTCTGTTTTATTCTGTATGAAAAACAGTAATTGTGTGATTTTTCATCAAAATAAATAAGCAATAGTTATCTAGTATATGAAGGGGGAATCCTCTTGAAACACTCGATTTTTATTGAAAAACTGGAAGTTGGATTTTTATCGTAGGAAGATTCCAGGTCGAGCAATCCTATATTCAGATCCTGTCGTAGGTTGGATCCAGGGATATCCGACAGTCAATCCGGTATTCGGAAAACGTCGGATATCGTTTGATTCCCCCTCCTTCTCCTCAAACACATGCTTCCTTGATCACTTGCAATGAACTCCAAAATTAAATAGTTCATTTTAGCTTATGATAAGTTTTATTAAACAAAAATTAAAATTAGATACAAAAAATAATTTACGAAAAATTGGAATAAAATTACAAAAAAATATCAACTTCATATTAATAAGAAATTCAATAATTAGTTTCTACTCATTGTTGATAAACTCATGCCGTAATACAATCTAAAATAAAATAGAATAAAGTGAGCAAAAAATAATGAAATGATATTAAAATATAACAATTGAAATAAGTAAAATTGAATAAAAAACTGAATTCCAAAAAAAATTACAGTGAACTGAAAATAAAATAAAATAAAGAATAAAAGTTAGAAATTACTTTCGACTCACTTTTTGTGAGCATCATGCCATACTAAATCGAAAATACCCAATTTGATTTTAATGACATCCGTAGAGTGATTGGTGAAATTTACATACACTAATACTAGTATAGGCGCGGGCGCTGTGAGTAAAGTGAACAGGAGTCAATGAAATGAATAAACTGCAAAAAATTTAACTACAATTAAATTAAAAAAGTAACATAATGTAATATATAATATAAAATTAAAAATTAAATAGCGAGCCCTCAAATTCAACGGGTGAGATAAAGTATCTATAGATACGTTAAAAGCATCTGATTCGACCTGGGCTTGTATGAGGTGGTCTTGGAAACAAGAAAGAAGAAAAAGATTAGGTAAGTGTAGGAGAAATTAGTCAGTACAAGGAAGCAATATTTCTATTAATATGCAGTTATTCCTTGCATCATCATATTACGCTCTAATCCGAGAAGAAGTACATAGAACATAATGGACTATTTAAGCAGACGTTAAAAGTGCGTCAATTGTTAAACTTCACTGGAAATATTTCCTCTACTTTTCTTTTTCCTCGAAAAGTAAGTATTGTGTGGAACGTGTGGATATTAATGATAATACCATCTTAATTTCATATCCGCACATCTAACTACGTGCATTTACCTTCTGTAGACTATGAAGAAAGAGAGGACAGTTGAAAACACATAAAAAACTCGCTTTAATGCACTTTGATCGCTTTAAACTCAGGCGAATTGTCTAGTCAATGTCTTTCTAACAGAGTTTTAAAAAAAAGTACTGTCTCGACGGCTCTCTTTCTTGATTGACGACTTTTTGGGTTCAGTTCTGACACCTATCGTGTTACTTAAGTTTTTGTGGATAACTAAGCGTGGAATCTCTTCAAAACAAAATGTTAAACTCTGAGTAATATGGACTAGCAAAGAGATTTTCAAAATACCGCGATCACTTTGCAGATGAAATATTCGATAAGAGATAAATGAAAATCGGTCCGACAAAGAAATAAAATTTGTCCACTGCTTTTGTGTATTTATATTTATGTGAGTCATGATGTTTGGGGGAACCGCCAGAGGAAGAGCGGTGTTCACGTTTCCACTTTATATATACTTCAACATACACTTTTAATTGTCCTTCGTACAACTACATGAAAATTTTTACAAAGTTATCTTTTAGCACGAATTATGTGGCATGCTAGGGATATTCATAACGAAATGACCTGCAACTTTGAACTCAATCAAGTACGATGTTCATAAACAGTTTCCATTTTGAATATGGAAAAGTACTTAAAAGCGTAACCATGTATGAATAAAAAAATAGCATTATAAGAAAAAATTCTATTCAAATAAAAAACAATATATTTGTAGTCTGCTCGATACGCTCTGTCAAAGCATAGGCGACTAACTGAAAATTTGCATTTTCTATATAATATTTTTTATTCTTTTATTATTTTGTGGAACTCACATATACTTTCGAAGAAAAGGGTGTGGGTGTGTCAGCATAAAAAAGACCCACATTCGTGATATCGAAATGCTTTTGCTTTTTCTTCCGGTTTGATGTCATCTTGAATGTTTCTATGAATATCAACTTTTTTCTGAATCTCCTGAGAAATTCCACTCATTTTTAATTTGTAGATAGAGATAAAGAAAATAATTTGTTTGAATCAATACTGTAACGATAAATAAGACTCTGTTGAGTTTATATCGTATTGACAAACTGGATAGAGGTGGAGTAGCTTACAGCCACTCACGGCAATGATGTTTATTCGTTTATTCACATATCCAGAGTGTAACAACTTCATACATAACACACGTATATATAGGAGAGAGAGATAGAAGAGAGACAGGAGAGAGATATATTATAATAATGGAAAGAGAATAGAAGGAAGAGGAAGGAGAATCATCGAAGCGTGCCATCAATATCGGCACAAATACAACGTTAGATAGAGCTACTTGTGTTTTAATCCTTTTAATAGCAATACTACTACTATGAGGATGGAACTGTACTCAAGAATACCGATTCATCCATTGCGTATAACGAATGAAAAATAAGAGGGGTATAGGTATAAAGCCATATATATATATATATATATTAGAATCTACTCCAAGTTCTTTTCAACAAGTCTTTTATCCAATTCCTTCTAGAAACATTTTTGTTCTTGGACCTGTAACTCAAACACAACTTGATTATTTAGTCTGGCAGGTAATAACGTCGAAACATGAGGGATTCATTTAATATTTTTCTTTTTCAGTTTCAAACAAGACTTAATGATAATTCAACAACCGCTGGTTCAACTATTCAATTACCGAATGGCTTTATCTCATTCTCTATAATACAAGTTAGTTAAGAATTCTTTATTTTCTCATCTTTGAATGGACAAATATATTTATCAGAAAAAAAGGCGACAAGCAATTGAGCAACAACAATTGTTAACGTTTACGTATCGTATTTTATATCGTCTAGGAGTTGAAATTCGTCGACGAAATTTGATGTTTGCACGGGCCAATAAATTCATTCGTGAATATTTTATTAACTTTAACAACTTAGGTAAGTCGATTTATTTATTTCTTAAATTAAAATCTAGTGAATTTTAGTTGATTTGGTGAAAAATGTAAGTAGTTGAGCAGATGCAAGTACATCTATCTATATTGACCAACAGCAACGGTAAAGGTAAGAAAATCTATTATTGACAAAAGCTATACCTTTTTTCTAGAGAGTACAGGTCATTTAACAAATTTCTTCTTTTTTCCCAAAGATGCAACTTTGACAACAACACCCTCTTCGATGATAAGTGTCGCCAGTAAGTTTTATTAATTATCAGAGAAAAAAAATTCTTTCCACAGAAACGTAACTATAATATTTGTTTAGATATTCCTGGATATACTCCAATTGGTGTTTCTTGTTAGAATGGTCCATTTCTTTTTTCTGGTAACGCTCTTTATCCCGATGAAGCAATCTGGTTACAAAAACGAATATCTGTTGCAGAAAATTCTTTGAGAATCTGACTTCAGGGAATTAGTCTAAATGTAAACGATTATAATGTCAGTATGCTAATGCACCTGCAAAAGAGAGCAACATGATCACTACCACACCAACGACGATTACAAAACGTTCAGCTAGTGATAATTCATGCGGTTCTTGTATTAGATTATATGTCCTAATAATGATATTATTGTTGTTTAAATTGTATTGATAGATATGATAAATACTCCATGATACGATCAAGATTATAAGCATAAAAATTACCAAAATGCACATACACATCCATGTACGATTAGTACTTCTTGTTGGTGCATTTCGTCTTTCATCTTTAGTATTGTCATCTTTACTTTTCGCTGAATCTTTCATAATTTTATTTATCTGAAAAATTTTTTTCATTTCATAGTTCCCTCTTAAAAAAATTCTGTAAAAGACGTGGTCTAGATTACAAAACAAATTATTACCAAACTTATGGTTGGTCGAAAGTTTATATATATTCGATACACTTTTCGGAGGAAAGTGTATCAAAGTTAATGCACCAATCAAGAAAAGATTCGATTCACTAATCAAAATGATGACTGTGTCTCATTAAAGTCGTTTTAGATCTTCGATAGTTAAATGTTGCCAACAAGATAAACAAATTGTCTTTTCAAAGTGGGTATCTATACTTCGAACAACGATTACCCATAGAAATTTTCACCGATTAGATTCTATTCGTTGTTTTACAAGTGAATATCATCTATCATTAAAATTAATAAGAATTGATTATTAGGATAATGATTTAATAGTACATGAAAATGCGCATATGTGTAATAAATAATCAATATTAGATGAAAAATTTATACTATTTCAATTATTAAAGATCATTCAGTCAGTCAGATGGTTAATGGTACATCTAGGAAATGGCGCTAAGGATCAGAAATGAAGGAGAGTGATTACTTGATATGTGCTCGTTGGAGTCTGCCGAGCCCGGATCTGGAAATATTTCGTTGACCGTCACCAAAATCAAGGTTCACGTCCGCTTCAATGAAATTTACTCTGAAAGAAAATGTCAATAATAGCTTGATTCTTATAACATCATTATTACGATCGCTGAAGCAATACGTGAGGGTGTGTTTCGGATGACTATCAGTTGCAGATTTAAAAACTTCAGTGAGTATCACAAATACGGTTTGAGTCCGGACCCGATGAAATCTAGTGTTGGTCGTTAATTAAGTCTTGAAAGGCGCAACTGTATGTGTAACGAAAGGATAAATTTACATTTGCGACTTAGTATTCTGTTTAAACTAGAAATTGTAGTAAAATGGTCTACGTTTTTGAAGGAATTATCTTACCAATCAAAATAGAGTTGGAGAGAGTTTACCAAAAGATGTTAATCATCAACTGAATGAATGAAGAAAACTCAGTATTAAAGAATATTTTTGAATTTGATGTGAATAAATAAAATTCCGAAAAACTAATATTACCGGGACTACTGCCAAAGAAGTTGCCGGAATCCAACTGAGAACAGGAGTAAAAACAACTCGGTTGCATACATCTACAGATTGAAGTCATAATCTATATAGACAGTTGTTATCTCAGACATTATTACACTCGACAAACAGAAAAACATAATAGTTTCACTGAGCAGATTCCGAAAAAATGTTTTTGTCAAGAAGAGTTTCGAAAATATCGCATTTAATCACGAGACCAGTGGTCCAACATGACTAAAATATTTATCACACAAGTTTTCAAACAGTCTTTTGTAGCAAAGATGTTTAAAAGATTCCAACGCGGCAGCGGCAAATTCTTTTTAGAAGACATTGCAAAGCTTCATGGATTTGCAGAGCATTCAGGCGCCCATAGGTGTAACACTCAGGGACTAGACGAATCTCATGGATTCATACCAACAGTTCTAGTTCAGTACAATGAGGGGTCCTCATCGAGAGCACGAAATTTCAATAGATTTTTTGAAAACCATCACGGTAGCGGCAGATTCTCAGCCGTGGTGGACATCTATATTTTGCAGAAAAAATGGTTGCGTTGACATTTATCTCTTTATGATTGATATTATTTATTTTATCAATTATTATTTAATATATTTAATATAAAACGTTGTGAAAAATTTCACATTAAGTAGCGAAAAATGATTACATAGAATATCGATAATTACGAAAATTTATTTTATTTTTGTTTCGCCGATTTCGAATAATATTTTTTCGATATTTTATTTATATTTATTTAATAATCATTCATACCATAATATTAGATATTTCTTAGTAAGTTATATTCAACCAAGTTTTATGGTTATGCATATGCTATGAGCACTTCTAAATGCATTAGTTGCTTCGAATATAGTAATAATGTTATTACAGAAAGTGAATTGTATTCATGGAAAAAATTGATTTCTGTAATTTATAAAACTTTGTTTTGTTTGGGTAGATTAATTATAGTAGAAAAGCAATAATTCTTTGAAGACGTGACGCTTGTTTCAATTATATACTTTTCGTGATAGTTCATATTTTAGATATAATCAATTCACTAGCAAAAACATCATTGTCATTCTGTTCAATGGCAAAAATTCTAACGATTACCCATACAACTTGAATCTATTATTCGACAAAAACAAATGAAAGCATTCAATAGTAATAATTAATAATCAAAAATTCAGCTTTTTCTTCGTGACATAGACTGCAAAAGTATAAAATCACGGAGTTTTTTTTTCATCAATGAATTATTAAAGTATCAAAAGTCATAATAAAGGTTTTCCCTTCATTTCAACAGATCCTCACAGTTAAGATTTGAATATTCAATAATGGCATCAACAACGATAGCATAAGCAGTGGCAGCAATCGTTGGAAGAGGCAGAGCCGGCAAAGAATCAGAATCAGTATAGTGAAGCAGGGAATCAGTGCATATATCAGCAAGTTGTACGCTGACTATGCAACCGAATGCTATGCATGTTCTTATTGTAATCGAAGAATTGGTGGGTATAACCAATAGTAGTAAAATATTGAAAATAAGAAAGTCACCCCATCCAAGAAACGAATTACACTTGTCTTCTTTTTCTACATCATCATTCAGTTCATTGATATCATATACGCAATAAACACCAAGTGGAGTCGTTGGATAATCAAATGACAGAGCGTCCACCACTGCTTCATTTATTCGGTCATTACCACCACATTTTGGATGCAAACATATGATACTATTTTGAAAAAAAAATCTTATTTGTACGAATAAGAAGAGAAGAACCAATTCATTCAGAAGATATCAGAATAGAGAGAAATATCTAATTTGATGACAGTGTTTTTCACTCTGCCAGCCCTACGTAATTAAAGTGTGTTATGGCTTGTATCTAAACACGTGTCGTAAGACAAAACAAATGCGTTATGAGTATTATTCATATATATTTGTTCTCTTTCTTTCTCTACAAATATTTTGTTTACTATATATAACTATCTCTTTTCTTTCGTTCTGTCAGGTATTTTTCTTGATGTGCTCTCTTGATTTTTTTCTTCACACTGTCTTTTCTTCCTGATGGAATAACTCACGTATTTGTCCAACGATATTATGCTACCTATTGGAATATTCCACTCTTCATTTAACATTTGATATAAACACCTCTTGTTTTTGTACAAATGTGTTTCATTTAACTTCATAAATAAACACCTATACGCATAAATATATGCACGCTCTAAGAAAGTTAATAATGTTCTTTTTTTTTCAACAAAATCTATTAAATCAAACGACAAAGTTGATTGCTACAGAATGAAAGAACCAAAGAATGGTTTGCACTAGTCAACATATCAGATCGTTCGATGGTTATATCCTAGAGCCATTCAAGATCTCATATTATATACCACTAGTTTCCCAATAGATGACATATAGTCAAGTATTTTATTTATACAAGCTCTCAAAAAGTTGATGAGAAAGGTTTTAAACCATTATTTTTTCTTCTAATACTTAGGTGATAGTAAAAAGTTAGAGAAGCACAATTAGCTATTGAACAAAATAAATCAGATTATCGATGGATCGACTTAATTGAGTTTACTTATATATAAATATTTTTTCTAGATTGAAGATTGAAAAATTCTCAATCCGGAAGAAGTCTCGATTGTGTTGATCTAAGAAAGAGAATATAGTACGATAAGAAATAAACATTTATATAGATTATACAAATGTCTTAAATCTGTATTTGGATGTGTATTTTTAGATCTTAAGCGATCGATTATTTCTCAAATGATTACTAACAGTAATGTGTACAATGTTATTGTCAAAAAAATGTTTGACTATCACAGAAATAAAAATCACTTATACAGACTTACATATCCATAGCAGATACTAGCCAAAAAAAAGCAAAATCGATATATGTGGGTACAAGTCGAAATACAATATCATACGTCGTAAATGCTAAATATGCCATAGATAAACAAGTTACTTGTTGATGAAGAGTAAAAGAAATAATCGGTAGATCCTGATAAAGCCATTTATAAATAAGAGCAGCGAATTGCCAAACAAGGAAATAGACGGTAAATGTGTCAACTTCATACCACATGTAAATAGTATGACAGTAACGAGCCAATAGCCAAGTAGCTGTAATCATCAATGACAAAAGAGTAATGATCCTCGGTATTTTTCGAACAGAACTATACAACAAGTAGGGTAAGCAAACTTTAAGTATCACCATGACGAGTGGATGCGAATAATATGTACCATCGTACGCAATATAAGAAAGACACAGGTGATCTACACAAAGTATAACAAGATATGAATAATCTATAATTCATGAATGCATACACAACCAATAACACTGAACCCAGCAGCGTACAGCCAGTGCATGATCACGCATTGCATCTGCAACCATGTACTGAAACAAAGAGCCACTTGCTCTTGTGTCTTTCAGAGCACAGTGGAGTATGAATGTCATGAACATACTCAAAGTACTTCCCATATATTTGTATATAGAATCTTTCATTGCTCAAGCAATTTTTGTAGAAACTATCGATAAAACACAAATTTTTGTTTCTTCTGTTTCTATTTTGAATAAAATCAATATTGAGAAATATCAATGAAATGAATACTTACTTTTCACAATTTTTTCAATAAAGTGAAAGCCGCATTGGTCTCGCTCAATTTTTATAGGTGAATAAAAAGTGAAGATAGAGAAGAGATAGGAAATAGAAGGAAAAAACTGAAATTGCAGTCGTTTGACCGACGACGATGAATTCTTTTCCTTTTTTTTTGTTCATCATATATGCAGAAAAAAAGAAACAACTATTTTCTTGTCTGAGGTCATTGCAGAAAAAGAAAGAGAACAATCATAACCTATCGATGGTACTTCTTCAGATCGACGACACCCCCAGTTTATTGGTCGTAACAATGAGAGGAAAGGAAAGAAGAGTTATTGGCTCATTTAACTCAGTCAATGAAAAATAAATCGATAAGAGAGCGAGAGAGAGAGAGAGAGAGAGAGAAAGATGACGTATACTTCTATACCAATCTATTCTAGTTCTAAATAAAAAAAGAACAATTATAATAAAGGATAATCCAATTAAATGATTAATGAGTTTATGTTCAATATGAGAAAAATGTTCTTGAATGCAATTCATTTCTTAATAATCTTTCTAACTAGCATAATGGCTTATGCTCTGCTACCTTCTCTTGATGATTTAAATATTCGAGAGTGGAATGAATTAACTTCAACAAATGAAAAAATTATAGAGTTCTGCCAACAAGTTGACCTGTTATATTAAGTAAGTTTGTTTTTCTTTTTTTTCTCTCTTAATTTCATAAAATACTATTTCTATTACTTTTGTTTTTTGTTCTAGATTCATCTTCATCCTAGTTTTGCTCTTCTGTTCTCTGGTTTTTCTTTTTTACTTTTCTCCTTTTTTTAAAATAAATAACATGAAGTATTTATTCAACTCATTTCTTTTACTAAATCACTCCTCAATATAGAAGTACACGCCATCTCTCTCTCTTATCGATTTATTTTTCATTGACTGAAATGTAGGTTGGAAAAGTAAAGAACGAGACACCCATACCCAGGCCGACGATTCCGGTCTCCAGATCCTGTCGGAACCGGTCTCGAAACGGCTTCTTTCCGGTGATTTCCATCGGTTCCCTAGTCTTTCCCGGCGGATCCTGCAGGAAAGCAATAGGAAGTGGAAGCAGTATTCCATCCGGAAAAAAACGTTCCCTGAACCCTTAACTTCCCCGCAAATCCAGTCATCGGGAACTCTATGGAACATACAATGATCCTAGAGGAACAGGAAGGGGGAACTCAGGAATACCAGCGGAAACCTTCACATTTAAAACGGAAAAGCAAAGGATACTGATGGGACAAACCGGAAGCACAACAAAACCCACGATTCTGCATCCTGAAACAAATATGAAAGATATACGAAGATCATTAATGATTAGGTTTTTATTCAGAAACAGAACTGAGAGATTTTCGATAAATTCGTTAGAATTTTTGTAAAGCATCTAGATTACGAAGTATTCAATCTGTGATACCGTTTGAAAGGTTTCAATTGTCTCCGCATATTTTAACTGGAAAACGTTTTCGTTTTCTACAATCTTCAATGTAACTCATCAGTTAAATAAAACTTGAACAATGACAACATTAACATTTTAATACTGACTTATATGTTTAAGTAGTGTGTTACTGTTTAATTATCTATCTATCTACCTCACTTCTGTTTATTAGTGATATTGTTCTTGATCGAAAACAAAAACTATAGCAAATACACTGCGAAAAATTAATTGTCAAAAACTCATTCATTGCGTCAGCTTCAACGTTTGTTGGGTTATATCACCTAAATGAATTGATAATANGTAGAGGATCTTTGACATGAATTCATCTTTTATCACCTACTATATATATCCATAGGTGCTATTTATTATTCATTTCTATGCTTCGAAGGATACGAATAAGTAGACCAGAGAATCCCAGTACTGAATCTGGGTATGATGAAAGCCGGGTAGTATCGGGTATCCGGTATGGCCGAACCCGGGTAGTACTGACCCGAACTACCCAGTTTGTACCCGGGCTCGGTGCATGCCTACTTGTAATCTTTACGATCGATTGCACAACAGTCAATTAAACCATCAAAAGACCACTTTATGTAGTGAGCGGGAGGTTAAATTTTACAAAAAGAAATGAAATTTATTTGATCTCGATTGCTTACCAATTGTCTATTTCTTACGAATAACAAAAATGACTATAAATAGCAATGATTTTTAACGTTAGAAATCATTCCCCATCTTTCTTTCTCTTCTTCTTACTATATTACATGTATATTTTATTTTTTAACTATTTTAGCTTGTATTCATACTGGCCATTGTTCAATATCACAGGTAAGTATTAGTTTTTAGTTTTTTTATTTTATTTTTTTGTTGTCTCAGCTTTTTATCCCATTTATTTATTTTAATTTTATATAATGATAATTGTCTTTCTATTATCTATTTTAGTGACACAAAAAGTAAGTATACTTTTGTATATTTAACACGCCCTACGGAGGCCTTCCATGCATCGGCGTGAAACTGGCCAAGTCTATCTTGGTGCCCATAGCAAGTACAGGCCGCATATAGATCTCTCTTTTGTAGGTCCTATACACGTTAGATCTATGCCTGCACGTGAAGAGCCTTGGCTCTCTATGGCCCCACCAAGGTAGTTCTTGGTCGCGCGAGCAACTATAACTGGTAAGCAAAAAAAAACAAAATTTTCATTCCAATCAATTCGTTTCTTTTCATTTAGCAAATAAAGAAAAGATGAAGAAAAGAAACATATAACGTAATCTTATATTTTAGCTTTTTTCTTTTCTTTGAAGCGAAAGAGTAAAAGAAAATTTATTTATTTTTGTTCATTTATTTCAAAGTATAGAAAAAGAAACGAACAAAGATAACAGCTGACAAGTCTTATTCGATAGAAAATCGTTGAACACGACTATTATCATAATCGCTGACATAGAGATTACCATGTCGATCGAAAGACAAACCAAAGGGGCTGTCGAACTGATTTGCTCCTGCTCCTTCGCCATTTCCACCCACAATTAGAGTGCCTTGTTTCTTGTCTTCTTGAGTCCAACGCATTACACGATGATTCCCCATGTCTGCTACATAGAGTGTACCCAACGTATCAACGAAGATTCCTCGAGGATAAGACAATTGTGTCAGAGCATTCCCTTGGCCTTGACCTCCAGCTACTACAATACCTTCTTTTGCACCTTTATTCAATTTCATTACACGATGATTGCGGTTGTCTGACACGTAGACATTTTGTTGTCGATCGACAAAGAGATATGTCGGTCTATTGAGTTGATTGGGTTCATCCCCATAGCCATTTCCACCAGCTACGAGAGTGCCATTCTTCTCACCCAATTGATATCGTCTTACTTCATGTTTTCCCCAGTCAGAGACGTAGAGATATCTCTGTTCATCCATTGTTAATCCAAAACATTGGATGTTGTCGATGAGTATTTCACCTTGTGTTGTACCACTACGACGAGACCATCTTACAACTCGTTTATTCCCTCGATCGCAAATAATGAGACTATCCGTCTCTTTGTCAATTAAGACATCTCGTGGACCATTCAATTGATGTAATCCATTTCCTTCGCCTTTACCACCGGCAACAACTTGTCCATTCGTTGCATCATCGTTCTTCCATTGCATGATACGATGATTGTAGTAGTCAACAATAACCACTGTTTGATCATCATCAACGAAGAGACCATAAGGGCTGATGAGTTGATCAGTGTCATCCCCTCTCCCGTAACCTCCAGCAATAGTCACTCCGGTTTGTTTCCATGTAGCATTAGCAGGAATATTAACTAGAAGATAAAGGGTAAGAATAAAAGGAAATCTCTCTCTTTCTCTCTCGATTATGGGTGGTATATGAAATAATTTCGAAAGTATCGAGTAAAATTCTTTGAATAGATCATTCTTTTTTTCTAGAAATTCCTCAGAATAAATTTTTTCTATACTGGAAGATTATTCTATAGAAAGAATCACACCCTATAGCATATCGTTCTCTGAAGCGTATTTAAATTCTATATTTTTGTAGAAACATATAATATTAAATGCTCTCTTTTTTGCAATTATATCATTGTGTCTTGTTAACATCTATGTTTAAAAGATTTTTTCCATCAAAATAGTTCTATAGACATTTATCTTTTGCTTTGTTTCTGAGATGTTATGTACATGAGTCTATATTTTCTATGAACAGACAAACATATAATATATAACGATTTATTTCTTATATGCGACTCATATATGAATATTAGAAATTTGTTAATGTACAATTTCGATGTTTCGTATATGAGCTTATTATACGCGTTGTATTATTTTCCTATGATCAAAATATTTTTGCTAGCCTTTTTCGTTCTCTTAACCCACACCACTACGATTCAGTTTTCTTAGAAACTTCTTTGAAATATTCATTTTTGTGATGGCATGGCAGGCTTTCGTCCAAGCAATATATTCCTGGGCAAGTACGGCGTCAAAATTTACAAACTGGCGGCTGCCAATGGATACACCTGGAATTATATAATCTACTTCGGCCAACGAGATTCAATGGCTGGCCTTGGGCGTGATCGAACAGTGGTGATGCATTTATTGGGTGATCTTGAGGGATGTTATCGAACCGTGGTACCTGACAACTTCTTTACCAGCATTCCTCTGGCAAAGCATTTGTTAGAACATGATACGTATCTTATTGGGACACTGAGAAGTAATCGTACCGGATCAGGCAGCGAAGTTGCTCAAAAGCGTCTTCGACGTGGTGAAGTTTACGAACTTCAGAATAAAGAAGGCGTAAAATTAATCATGTGAAAAGACAAAAAGAACGTCTTGATGATATCCACAAGACCGTCGGATTCAGCAACTGTGGTAGATACTGGAAATATCAATAGTAAAAATGAACACATCATAAAGTCACAAGTTGTACTGGATTACAATGACGGAAGAATATGTACTGATTTATCTGATCAGCTATCATTATATTACACGTGCCTCAGGCGGTCAATAAATTGGTACCGAAAGGTAGCATTTGAATTAGTTTTTGGGACGACACTAGTAAATAGCTATTTGATATACAAGAAAAACTACGCAGCAAGCAATGTGGCCATTCTGCAATTTCGTGAAAGTCTTGTCCAATCTTTACTGCTTGGTATCCCATTCGAGAAGCTGAAGCCGGGTGTGACCAATCACATAACATCACTCTCTCAAGCAGGTAGTCATCAATAGGATATCATCTGTATCCTCTCTGCTCCCTCTGTTCGGTGGTATATATATACCTCTACCTAAGAAGGAAGAGGCGGTTCAGTTAATAATAATAAATAAAGACACGAAAGGTAGAGAAAACCGTTACAACTGACAACCCTGGCAAACGGACCCTTGCAAATTTTTGTTCGAAGGAGATCCTTTCAATATTTAATAACAACACCAACACCTCAAATGATAATAATGTGAAAAATGACTATGGCGATCAAATATCCACAATAAATGTGAAGCAGCAACTGGGATGCAGACTTTATATGATATCTGGCCTCCTCAACAGAGTAGGCGGTGCGGTCTCTGGTGGACAAACGTTGACAAATAGATGTCAAAAATTAGACAAAATTGAATAATATTATGAATTAAATAAATTGAATAAATGAATAGAATGAATTAAAAATAAATTGAATCAAATAAATTAGAATAAAAATATGAATTAAACGAAATTGATTAATTAATAGAATTACAATTGCGAGAACGACCTACCGAGCGCATGATATCGACTCAACTGTCTGAGAAGAATGACTTGGAAGTTCCTACTTCTATTGCGTGGCTTTTTATCGGATGGCATCTTCGTCCATTGCTATGAAGTAACAGCCATTAATGAAAATTGATCGCACGAAAATATTCACATAAATCAAAATAAGAAAAATGTCCAAAAAGAATGGTCAGAGAAAATGATTTTAAGAACACTGAAGCTTCGTCAAGAGACAAGAGAAATATTTAAAATAAATTCTTAAAAAGTACTTATGAAGAATATTATAACAAGACAATTGAAGACTAATGAATGCTCAAATGATGGCAAACGAAATTATATTTCAACCGACTAGTACAACAAAAACAAAAATGAAAATAAAACTGAATTCTTTGTTATAAAGTAGAAATAAAATGTTTTTAAATTGATTGTTTAACGAAAGTGTTTGTTGTCTCTTTCCCGTGACATAATTAGATTTTTTTGTATTCTTTTGTTCGCTCAGAAGAGCTCTAGTTTCAGTGGGGGGATATTGTAACGGTATTTACCGTTACAGCTCACTTTATGTACTTTATCCTCCTCGCTGTATCCTATGTTTGTGCATTGACCTGATGAACTCTCATTGTTCTATTGCGTGACCGTCCCCTCTTTGTCTATATCCGCCCAAGTGTGATCGCTCTCGCGTATATAAGGGAATGTAGCTAAAGGAAATGCACGACTAGAGATGTGCAGATGGCACAATACACCATCATGCCGACGGGCATAGGTGACACTCTCTATGTTCGTCACAACTGGTCCGAAGGAGACGGGAGTGGACCGAACACGACGGCACTGCAGTGTCGAGACGATCCGTGGCACAGGTCTAACTGATCCTGACTGATGTTCAAAAATCCGCCTGAAAGAGCCTGGTCCCAATGGGGCCAGCGTCAGCTTTCAAACCGACGAGAGCCGATACTTTTCTTTTTGTTTTTTTTATTAGATGAGAATCGGTTCTGTGTACATACAAAAGAAAAACAATATAATTATACATCACAAATAGCAATGCGTGGTGTACACAATATATATATAAATACAGAACAAATATCATGAATGAGAAAATACATTTTTACTTGTTCTGTATCTCACGATTCATACGTACAACAAGTAACTAGATGGCATTCGAGTTTCACTCTTATACGAAATGCGGTGCGAAGCACGAGCCAAGTACACGAAAAAATAAAAAGTTTAACGGAAAAAGAACAAGCAATCTTAAAATTAATTAGACATTGTTTTGACCTGATTAGTTTCATATTCGCTTGGAATATACGCCTTTTCCTGCCTTCAGCAGTTGTAATAAAAAATAAAATAAAAAAGTTTCAATGGAGCAGATGATCGAAATTTCAAATACACTCAGCGCTGCTATTGTTGAATCTATCACTACGAGAACTCCTCTATCAAGGCTTATGAGTGTGTTCTTATAGAACGATTTCGATTGATCATTTAAATATATCTATGATTTATTATGTAGTTTTAGTTGTGAATGAATAGACTAATGGCTAGTATTTTTTCCTTACATCATTTTAATCATCTCGAATCTTGAAAACGAGAAGCCATTTCAAAATTGTCTTTTTTGGAACGAGTTATTTGTGATTTTCTGGCCTTGAGATCATCATGACAGATAATGTCCTGATATAATGTGCACGTATAGTTCCAAAGAAGAAGAAACGAAAAATCGGTCTTAGCTTCTCGACTTTCATTTCTTAGTGGAAATGACTTCGCTATTTATGTATAAGAATTTAAAACGAAAAGTTTCTACTGAGCAGCTGATCGAATTTCAAATACTACTTAAGTAACCATTAACAATTGCATCACTGTGAAAACTCCATGTATGTCTAGCGACATGTTTCGTAAGAACGATTTCGATTGAACGTACTCAAGTTAGAAAGAAACAAAAAAAAGCTCGCGACGGACTACCAGAATCCTGTGCTTCGCACCGCATTAATTACGAATACATAATATGTACTATTTAAAACAGAAAAAGCACATTAAAAAGTAATAGATGAAGTTTACATTGATATATGTACAAAAGATATTCAAATTCATAAATCTGCACTCAGATATAGTATGGTTTGCTGGATGATTTCAATCGCAGAAGTCATATTGATTCAGTCATATCATATTCTCAATCAGCACACTTCTCTTTTATTGAAGATTAGCCTTCAAGCGTTACAGCAGTATGTGTATTCATACGCAGCTATTTATTCTATACTTTATTTTGGATTACTTTTATAAGCAATCTGTAGAATTATTTCTGTATGCATGTAACTCTACAATCTTTCTTTTTCAAGAGATTGGACGTAAAGATTCACTAGCATTCTATACATATATACGAATATTATGTATACATTAATAAATAATAATGAAGACTTACAATTCTCCTACTTGTGTTGGAAATAAGTTTGCGTTTTTTTCTTTTTTTATTTCATAGTATAAATCAATAGAATACTGAAATGCATTCACGCTCAACGTCACTCTATTATTTTTATGAAAAGGATGTCACTCTTTCTTTAATCCCTCTTCCAAATCTTTTTTAGGATTCATTACTGCTGATGGATATTCTAAAGTTGCTGAGATTAATATTTGTGTGACGAGGTGTGAAATGTTGATCACTTAAGAGAAAAATTGAAAAACTGTTTTTTTAAAGATGACTTTGAACGCTCATCTCGGGTACTCTGGATAAGAAAATTACGCGAATGATCGAGTGTTAATTTGTCGAGCACTTTCTTCATAATATTATAAACGAATAAAAGAAGTTTATTTTTGAATTTTCGATTAAACATATAATCGTAGTAGTAAATTTTCAGCTAGTTCAAATTGCTAGAGCATGAAATACTAGCGTAGTATCGGACTAAGAAGATATTCATGTTATTAATCGATAGCTCTATTGACCTAATTTAAATTTAGACTTACTAATTTCTTACTTTGATGCACGCCATTTTTATATGATGTGATCACATTTAGCTGATGCTGTACTATTATATTTCATCCCTATATATAATGATGGAAACTCATTTTTGCAAAGATAAATCTTACAATAACAAAGAACCTATCACGGTTGATTGCAGTAATAAAACAAATTATTCACTTTCTCATGATTCAACTATGAAATTATTTTTCTTTTCTGTGATTTGTCGTCGAGGTCCATCGCATGGCAACTATTTATGAAAGGTAACTCATGTAAATGCACGATTATTTACAAAAGACTTACAATCTCACACCCTCAAGTAACCGCAAACTTTGCTCTTTTCGGATCATTTCAATGAACCGCTGCCTTCTCGATGTTCTACCAGCTGAGATATTTCATATTATTTTTAACTATTTTTGGGCACACGAAATTTTCACAATATTTTCCGATGTAAGCCCTTACCTCAATGCTGTTTTAGTTTCCTATTCCAGCTATCAAGTTAACTTTCGATCAATCCTAAAGCCCCATTTTGACCATATCTGTCGTGTTCTGCGACCAGATCAAATTCTTTCACTAATACTTTCTGACTCCTATGGTACACCACACCAATCTGAACTATTCTTATCTCATTATCGAGCTGATTCATTCACTCGACTTCGATCACTTACATTGGACAAAATTGAAACGAAATCGTTGGTCATCATTCTTCGCCAAATACAGAAACTAAATCGACATGTCCGACTTTCATTGCACAATTGTGATATCAGTCCACTAGTTTCGATTGAAATATCATCTCAACTACAATCGTTGAAAATCGGCAGTAGCAATTCAAAAAAATCGAGAGTTCCACTATCGGTATTCAACACCAAAAGTTCAACACTACCTACTGATGATTTTGAGCATATTTGTGAAAATGCATCGCAACTTCAATCGCTACATGTTCGATGTGATGATACGATCGCAATCATTCGTTCTTTGTTGAAATTACCTCAGCTTACTCGTCTTGTTCTTGAAATTACAGGTAAACACGGCTGGACTATGTAAAACGGATAGAAATAAAGTGAACGATTGCTTTCAAATATATTTAGAAAAAATACTTTGATAAAAATCTGGATCAATTTCAATTTGCAACAGATCACTGTGTTTTGCATCGATGTTTTTAGCGTATATACTCCTGGGGAAAATAAAGACAACCGTTTATTTTTCCCAGAGGCAACTATATGCATGATTTAGGTCAAAACTTTGGCCTGACGTTTTTTTCAGATTAACATACATTTAGATGCAAAAGTGACCTTGTTGCCGGTTTGAAGTTAAAGAATTAGAATTGAATTTCTAATTTTACACAATTTTTATAGGATTTTTCACTAATTTAAAAAAAGCAACACTCGATCTACTCTCATAGAATAAAATGAAGTTATCGCACTGTCTGATTGAGTATAAGATTTCGAATAAATTCATATAAGATACAAAAGCTGTAAACAAGATCCTTTATTATAAATTCGTAGAGCCCATAGATACTTATTTTGAATCCAAAATTATAGAAGAATGACTATGTATATATTGATTATTTCTTAATAAATAATCGGAAGCTGAATAAATCCCGATATGATTTTCATCTTAGATTGGCTATCTATGAAATACATCCAATATTTACTTTTAAATCTGGTTCATCTCAAACATTTTGAGCTACATGCTGCAGAAGGGGCTATTTATTTGGCAAATGGGACAATGTGGGAAAATATCACTGGTTCACTCAACACGTTCAACTTCATTTTTTATGCGAAACTAGTAGAAGCTGAAAAAACTCTAGACACATTCAGATCTCCGTTTTGGCTCGAAAAGCGTTGGTTTGTAGCCTATGAGTACGATTGTTTGTTTTCAGTACCGCGTTTCTCTAAGAGATATTGCAATGTCAATTTTCAGCGCCCCATCTATTCGACAGCAATTGATGACAAAATATTTCTCGATAAGATAACTATTCTTGAACTGTCGGAACCATTGATTGGTATGAAACGTCGTTTTGCTCATGTCCGAACGTTAAAAGTCAATTGTACCGTTCAGATGGAAACTCTCTCGTCTATCATCGATGTAAATCGAATAGAACATTTAATTTTGTCTTGCCCACCCTTGCACTCACTACCAATTATGAGTCAATTGTTGAAAATGAAATGTCTTCAAAAATTGTCCATAATAACAAATCCATTTGAGCTTCTTATACAACTCAGAGGAGTGCAATTTAGAAACATTAGAACACTCAATATTGATTACAATTTCGTTCTTGTAAAAAGATGTTGGTTTAAACAATTATTTTATAGCTTCCCATGCGTTGAACGTTTACATATAAAATCTATCAGTAAAGCAAATGTGATCTGTATGATTAATGGATTTAAACATCTTTCAAACGCATCCTTCTCTCTTGATTCTTTGTCCGACATAGATGAAATAAATTGGGTTGCTCAACCTGAACAGGCTCTTCGTGGGGCATGGAGGTTGACGAGTCATAATTATACTTGTCGATACGAGCATTCATATCTTGATGTGTGGATAAATAAACAGGTGAGTCAGTTCCATTTATAAAACTGTTGGCTGTTTTATCAATGTGATTAAAATTAGGTACCGCAATTTTTTTCGATACATTATTGGCTAGAAACAATCGATGACTGTTGTTATACAATTCAATCGACTCGCAAACCACTGATGATCCAAATGATGCTTTATATGTGTGCATTTATTTCAGTCTTATTCAGTCTTGGTGTACTCAAAATAGTAGAAATTGTTTGTAACTGTCACCTGAACTCTTTCTTATATTGTTCCATATGTGGTACGATAGGTTTAATTAATGTGTGCACAAAATACTTTTATAAATGTTCTATATTGATGATAATTCTGGCAATGTTACTTATCAGCGATATCGCTCTGCGTCCGATCAATAATACATATCATTCTTCAGTTTTCTATAGTATTGGTCGCTTTTTTTGTGAACAAAATATGACAATCGCGTGTAAATCAAATGTTTTATTGGTTCACACTTATCCATGTGTTCACGCATACATACATTACTATATCAAGGATTCATTAATCTGCGGCTTTAACTTCTTCCCCTATTCGTACCTTGTGGGAATTATTACTTGCCCTGTCGTGATTTCGTACATAGGTTTCAGTATGATACTCAATGGATCTATTCACGTCCTACATACAATGTTCTCTGGTATTATCCACTACTTTTAAAATGACTGAAAATCGGCTGAATAGAGTAGCTGTAGCTTGCGCTTCAAGTCATCTTACTAATTGCTGCCGCTAGCTCGTTTTTCCCTCAGCGCAATGCACACTTGTTTAAATTGAAATCGATGAGAACGGAACTTGTAGATTTTATTTCCGCTTAAACCACCACCAACGGCGTACATCTCGGCAACTAGTGTGACAATATTTGTGCAAACAATATTGTCTACTATGTGTAATGCAACGGCGATAGATTTTAGAAATGAGGTTTTTCATTCTATTTTAAACACGATTCATTTGACGAAACTTCCATTGTAACCTGTTTTTTGAAATAGATATCAAAGCATTAACTGCATATGACAAATATCTAATGTTATTCTGTTCAATCACTATCTATATGAAACCTTCACTTATTATAAAATCTCGAAAGTACATGGTGTTGACTTGTTTCTATATATCTCTCTCGAATAGTGTTTTCTCGCTTTGTTTCAACAAAATATAAATGCATTTTCTTACAACAATCTTTAGTTCAATTATTATGATCAGTACAGTTATTTTTTGACGCTAATTATCGTAAGACTTTATCTCAAGACAAGAGTTTGTGTTGAACTAGATGAATCATCACAGCTCAGACATAAAAATTCAATCAACATCAGCAACTTTTCTTATTTTTCCAGGCGCAAATATTTATCGTTTCACATAACACACTTAAATGGCAGCGACCATTTGCGCAGACAAAAATCAATAGAAAAAAGAACAGAAAGCGGGCCATTTTTATGGCTGCCAGGGAATGTTTTTTTATTTTTCTATTTCATTAGTACAATAATGCCAATATTCAGACGAATTTATGCTTAATCAACAAATATTGAATATTATTTTGTTCCATTAGTAATATTATCATGAAACGGTTTTGTTCAATATCGATATTCTGAGTAACCTAAATCAGAGGGTTCTAAATCTTGAGGGTGTGGGTGTGTGAATGTGACGGTATTCTTAACCCAACCACACCCACACCCTCATATGCGAAAACTAAACAACCTTGTGAGCCTACAGGCTCCGCCGCTTATGAATCCTGATATGAATGGATGTATGGACATGAATGGTTATTGTTACATTCAATAGTCTGCTAGTCTTTCAGTCGTCCTGAAATGCACACATATGTAAATCATCCACATTCAATTCCACAGACAATATCGAACAGGAAATATCTGTTATGAGGATTTTTAACTACAGTTGTTTAAAAATCATTTTTAGAAGAGCATGCTAAATATTTCTATGCAGTATTTATTCTTCATACATTTTCACTGTGCTCATGATAAAAATTTGTATTGGCAGATGCATTCTTCAACTTGTCGCACTTGCATTACTTCGAAGAAGACATCTGACATAATAGTTATGTTTGAACTCGTATTCATATGATGAAACCTTTGTTTGACTGAATCGCTTTAAAATTCGTTGCTTGAAATTAGCTATGTCCAAAAAATATGACGTCGATTTCAAACAGCTTTCATTAACATGGACGTTCCCATATTTCTTAATGTATTTCGAGTGAACGTTAACGTTGATTAAGAGCAAAGTTGTAAAACTCAAAATGATTCGAAAGCATTTTAGTACAACTATTTCGTTGTTCTTTCTCTGTGTAATGCATACTTAGCTTTGTCGACGTACTATATTGACCTGTTGTATATTTATTCATTTGAACCTTTTAACTGTGGAGGATCTAATTAGATTTTCCATGCTTTTTATGTTCTGATACAATAGAAAGAAATCACACCGTGGCTTCTGTTGATCACGTTATCAACGTACGCTACATCCTAGAGTTTGAGCAGTTCTGTAACTTCATGATTAGATACTTTCTCTGTTGCTGTCGTCTTACCGTATCGATTGAAAATCGCATTTATTACATTGTGATTAATCAATATCAGTTTTAGTTAATTTTAACATAATTGTCCTTGCAATAGTATCATCCTCATCCTAACATATCTGATAGAATTCACTCGATGATTATGTATTTTTGTTACTATTGACATTAAAACTTTTGATAGTCTGCATGATTGAAGAAGAAGTCTTATCAATGCAATCCGCGTAGACTTACAATGTAAGACTCTCTCATTTAAAGCCACTTCAATCTTGCTTATATCAAATTACGTTGCCAGATTATAGTCGAGTTTGCCATAGTTTGATATTTGTTTGAGTCATAGACATTTTGAGAGTGTGAGTGTCGATCTATATTTTCTTTACATTTATCCCATTCATGCAAACCGATCGAAAGTCACCAGTTACTCGTGGGTATCTATCCGGTGAACTGTCGGGTTTTACGCTGTGAATTAGTTGCTGATTCAACTTTCTATATTCCACATGATTCAAATGAAAAGTTAGAATTTAATCATTGCCTTTCATGTTTAGTTCTTATCGATACGATCAAAATGATGAGTTATGGGATAGACAAAGATAAGATGATAGACTATGGTTAAGGGGATATATATATATATATAACTTATGTAGATAAGGGAATAAGTTAGGATATATAAATAGATAAGGGGATAAACATAGATAAGGGGATAAGCTACGGGATAGATTTCGTTTATACGAATCTGTCAGAGAGCGCATGCAAGGCGTTGAATAAAACAGTATAAAGGGATAGGGGGAGATGCATCAGTTTATCGTTACGAATTTTGCAAACGCCGATCTATTGCATTGGAATCGTGACATAATTTCACATACGAAGCAATTTTTAGTGTAACTTAAAGATCGCTTGATCTGGAGCTATATTATTTTACGAAACTCAAAAACCGTTTCGGTTCCGTTGCAAATCTCAGAACATTTTTCAAATTCCATACGTGTACCTTGCTTTCAGTGTTTAGGTGGTTAGAAATAGATATAGATGGTATGGCATATTTCAAGCGAATATGGATCGATTATAATATGATTATTTCTCTTGTTTTTACATAGGATAGACCAGCGCATGTGAAGTATTCTGCAATACTCAGTGTTTTATCAAGGCTTCTTTTTTCGGGTGGGCGGTTGAAATTTTTGGAGGGGCTGCTGGCTAGAAGAATTGTTACCATATAGTAACGGGTGGCCCACAAAGAATGACGGTTTCATTATTTACTCAATATCTTTTTTGCTCTTCATTGATTTGAACTGAATATTTTCCCAAAAGATTGAGCATTCAATTTTCTACAAACTCACATGTAAAAGATTTTTTAAGCTACAAAATGGCTAAGTACTAAAACGAAGAAAAAAAGTGGAAAAATCTTCAACTTTCAAGCACTAAATCCGTTTTTTTTAAATTTGCGTTCCATGTGAGGATCTACAAAAAAAACTCAGTCTACCATGTTAAAGAGCATCAGATTCTGGGCAAGATTCATGTCTTTGAATTTTTTTTTCATTACAAAATGAGTAAAACATTCTGCATCAATTTTTTTCGCTTTTTCTAAAAAACACAAATGTCATGTCACGTTTTTGATGCTTGCACTAAAACGCATGCCATTCACTAGAAAAAGTGTTCTTTTTTGACGATTCGTTTTTCTTTGAAAGTCAACATACTCGACTACAGCCCTGTCCCTAATCCACTCTCTCTCGACGACTCCCCGGGGAGTCGTCACAAAATAACGAAGTCCCTGTCGTGAGTCCCCGGGGATTTCTCTGGGGAGAATTGATGAAATTTTTTAAAAAAATTAGAAGAATTCATTAGTAATTAGATATTTCATCAATTTCGGTCAGAAAACTCCCCGGGGAGTCCCCGAAAAAGAACGAAATCCCTAGGGACTTCCTGGGGATTCTTCTAGGGAGAGTTGACTAGGGCATGTACATTTGTTCGAGTGATGCAAAGTTTCGTTTGCAGTAGACTTTCTTGTAAACTGAAATTAAGGCGTTATGGACGAGTTTTCAGAAAATATCGATTTAATAGGCGAAGACCACTTTTAAAGGAATGTTTTTCAAAGATATCGAAAAGAGCGTACTTGAAAATACCAGAAAATGTTTCTCCCGTAATTTAAGCCTGCGTATAAACTGTCGAAACATACTCCAAATGTTAATGTATGTTGAGCTTGAAAGTTGAAGATTTTTTAACCTTTTTTCTTCGTTTTAGTACTTAGCCGTTTTGTAGTTTTAAAAAATCTTTTACACATGAGTTTGTAAAGAATTGAATGCTCAATCTTTTGGGAAAATGCTCAGTTCAAATCAGTGAAGAGCAAAAACGATATTGAGTAAATAATGAGACCACCATTCTTTATGGGCCACCCGTTACTTTTATGAAATCAACTGTTTATTTTCGGGTGGGTGGGCGCCACCCACCCTGCCCATACAGTAGATAAATCGCTGGCAATACTTTTGCACTTGTAATAGACAACTGATGCAATTATATAAGTATTTATAAAATAACAATAGGATTTCTTTAATATCATTAAATGAGTTAGTGTTAAACTTTCGTACTTATCTTTTGGAAAAATAATGAATGAACTTGGCTTTATCGATAGCTACATATTCATAGCATTCAAAACAGTACATTTATGATGTGTATATGAATTTAAATCAACAAATAATTGGCCATGTTTATTTTTCACGCAGTCAACAAATCTTTTACTTAAGTTGCATTGCTACCATTGCCTGCTATTGTCCATGGCTGAACTATTAATTTATGACTGTATTCTTTCCGATGACGTGAATAACAACACAATTTACGGTAAATATTTGTTTTTTTAAATTCTTCGAAGTAAATTCGATTGGGGTAAACATAAATTACAAAAGGCAATGCTGCAGGAACATCGAGTAGTAATAGTAAACTGATATGCAAACGTTCTTGTACCATGCCATTATCTTTCATACATTGAGGCAATAAAATAAAGTGAATAACAACATGAGGAAGAATAAAAATAATGATAGCTAATGGTGAAATTAAAAGATCTCGATTAATATATAATTGTTCTAACCATACACGATACAATTTTAAACTTCGAGTATAACCACGAATATATATTTTTCGTCGAGCTATCGTTGTGAGAATACTTATCATAGCTATTACATGAGCTACACATGGTATAATTATATGACAATAGGACACAACGATATGAGCCCTATACCAAGCATGAGAATATGAAACATTATAACTGCATACTGTTTGCTTAGTGAAAGTTTGAGAAAGCGTTCTTAGTTTTATCTCTGGTATATTCGATACGGCAATAACGATAATAATTAGAAATGAAATGATAACAGCTCGTAATCTTGATCCAAGCATAGGAAAATTTAAACATTGAACAAGTAATTTCTCAATAATTATTGCAACACTCATCCAAATGTATATATAATCAAATGTTAAACAAACATAGGGAACATAAAAGCAATCCCATTGACGATAAATAGCTTTATTATACTCGAACAATGAGATTATATCTGTATAAATAAGTAGCATAAGTACAATATTGAATGAACAATAGACAATTAAATATGTGCCACAAGCTGTAATTCGAATTGGTTCTCGCATAAACACAGTTAATGCGATTATATTATTGACCAAACCGATTGTTGCAAGAGCAGCAAAAACGATAACATAAACAATTTTAGCATAGAACGTGTCTTGTAAGATAGCACTTGTCATTGATAGTTCAAGAAGATTAAAATAATGTTCACATCGATTACCGAAAAAGCATTCATTTAAACAAATACAAGAATTTCCTATACAAGAACCACCATTCAGACATGTTTCATTTACGGATAAACAAGACATATTCAAAATAAACAAAAATCAAATTATAAAATCTTGGTTGAGTCTGAAAAAAGGGTTTCCACGGTATTCAGCCGTATAACTAGACTTGCAATAAGACTTTAAAAAAACAATTGTCTGATGAGGATCTCAATAGTACATCAATATGGCGATAGCTCGAAGAATCAGAAAAAAAAATATATATCCAATAATTTGTGACACAGATAATCTTAGTTAAATAATAAGAAAGCGTTTTTTCGTCCTGATTTTGTCAAAAATACCAACATAAAATAAAATAGCACAAATATTGACAGTATTCGTCAACATTTTTAAGACATGACGCGTTTCGCTTGTTTCTATGACGAAGGATGGCGGACTCATATTCCAATAACTAACGTTTATCACTCCACTCGTTTGATATTCAAGTTAATATTCAGCTTTTTCTCTGTGCCAAAATAGTAGTATCCAATTCTATAGAACGGATGGATAGAAGTGCGAATATTGGCACACTGAAGTACCAATTTTCATATGTAACAGGAACCTATACTATCTAAACTAGTTTAGCGTGATGCACATAGAAAGCCAACTTACGTATTCTTTCTAAGTAGTGACACCAGTCGTTTGTATACATCTCTCTAGGGCATTACCCATGATAATCAGTTTTCTTCATCGCAATGCACGTTGATGGCATACGGCTGTTGTTTACGTGAAACTAAACCTCGCCGTTACCGAGAAATAATTCTCTTTGTCAGATATCCAACTTATAAACGTTTGATTATCAGGCTATATAGAAAAATCTTCGAAACAAACAGTGATCATCATGGTTTTACAGTACAAAAAGAAAGGGCAGAGACTAATGAATTACTTTTTCGCACAGAAATTAGTTCTCTAAAAACCTAAGAAGCAAAAGATGCAAGCATTAGAATGAGTAGAAAACATAGGGAAAATATTCTTCTGAAGAAAAAACAAAAGCCTTATCAAAAGTAACTTTTCAAGTCTATATACATATATTAAAGGAACATGTTCTTGACAAAACGCAATAACTCATGCTAACGTAATGCAATGGCATGACACAGTTCTCATTTCAACTATTTTCCTCGAAAAATACGCTATCATTTCTTCCCATCATATAAAATGATGTTTTAATACTAGATTAGTTTTGATATAATACAAGCATAAAGTATGTGTCATCTTGTTTATTAATATAAAAAAAAGCGAAAGAAATATATTTCAGTGTACTCTATCCAACAAACTATTGATTGTACTCTGTATATTATTCATCGTCTGATCCATAGAAGTGAATTTTTCATCGATTTTATCCATGATAATTTTCATTTTATTCGTGTGTTGTACGAGTTTTTCCGTTGTTCTATTTGAATCGCGCTGTAAAATTAATAAGTCAGGTAGAGTACAAAAACTATCGGTTAAATTTCGTTGTTCACGTTTTAATTTTTGAATAGCATGAATCGATTGAAATAAAACCCATTGTGCTTTAATAAATCGAAATGATTGTGCTTTGTTTTTTCGTCTTAAATACCAAACTTTGACAGCAAATTTAATAACGTTCGCTGCTTGAATCTTTCGTTTTTTAGCTACTTCAGTATTTAATACGAAACTGTAAACATATTTTTCCCAACGAGTTAAGACAAACGTTTGAGCAAGAACAGAAATCAGAAGTGCAGTAGCAAAAGTACCAACCAGCGCACCGATCACAGTAACACCTAATCATAATAATAACATTTTATTTTACTCGAAAATACTCTCTCTCTCTCTCTCTCTCTACTTCACTCACTTCGACCACAGTAACTTGTCGGTGTGACATCTCCATATCCTATAAAACTTCATATTATCAAAATTCGTTTCAACAAATTTTTGTTACAAATACAAACCAACAGTAGTAAATGTAGCCATAAATAGCCATATGGAATCCAACATCGATGCATGTTCACCCGTAGGTAGATAGTCACATGCACGTAGAGACCAACTACCAACAAAAACAACAATCGTGCAAAATATAATTAAACAACGTGCTGGCCATTGTTCAACATATGTTTTTATGATAAAGAAAAAGTCTATGGAAACTTGACTAAGATAGCTAAGTGATTGTGATGAAGCATTATGCGCTAAATATGAATGAAACTTCATAAAACGACATACTAAATACAACCGGAGGAACACTATTGAAAAAGAAATTTTATTTTGAATGAAAGAAATTTTACATATTTACTTGTTAGACTAAGTGCAACATTAATAGACGTGTAAGAAATAGATAATGAATGAGCGATTGTTGAGTTTAAACTCAACTTAGAATGCAAATAACGAGGAATCGGATGAATAGCACAGACTAATAATTCAATTGTAATAAAAAATATTCTTGTGCCTGTTAATCCAATACACCAATGCTCAAATAAATTTGTAATACAATAGAGCTTTAAATCTAATTGATGATAGTAAAATATGAGGCCAAGTAAAATTATGGTTGACATGGAAATCACTAATTTAATAAGCCAACTTACAAAAATATCTTCATCATTACCAATGGCAAAATTAATTTCATTGCTGATAATCATCAGAACAATACCCAAAACACCAAGAAAACACATCACATTACTTACTACACGTCTATTACAAAACCAAAAGGTCAATTCAAAAATACAAAATAAAATAAAACACAGCATTGCTTACAAACGATTATGCAAGTTTTTTCGATTTTCTATTCGGCAATTGATATAAACCATTGCCCTATTTTTGATTGAGTTTCTATTGTGATTTATTTGATGATGAGATGATGTTACAGAAGAAATTTTTCGTAGCGAACTGGAAATGATATCAATCGTTGTTAATTCTAATGATGGACGAGATTTATCATTACAAGTCATTCGGCATCATAAATACAATTTTTAATCTTGCACGTTATTTTAAAAGAAATTCAAAAGATAATATTTATCAGCATGAATTTCAATGCATTTGAATAAAATACCGAGTAAATCAAGGCAAATCGATACGAATATTTAATATACGCATTATTTCACTCTTATTCAACAAGTATTTTATTTATATACATCATTCTCATCAACATCATAAGAATGATTAATCTAGATATATAAGTATAAATGAATAAAGAGAGCCATTTTCTATTCATATATATGTATACGTATAAATGAAAACATGATAGACAAAAGCGAGAAAAATGAATATACTGACATTCACATAAAACACTTATCATGACACATTAGCCATCAACAGAGAAAAAGGACAGTCGGCTACTTTATTCTGGTTGCACAAAAACTTAAATATAGGATAGCTAGGTTCAGCTCGATCTTTTTTTTTATAAACGACACGTATATATTTTCCTCAATCAATTCGTATCTATGAATTGCAAAAACAAACTTCCTTTTGACTTCATTACATTGGAAGTATAGTATTAATTGAAATTAGTTCGGCTGTAAAATAAACAATGATTAGGATTTGAAATTCCTGCATGTCCAATTTTCTATGCTATGCTGAAATTCTTTGATATCCATTTTCTTTCATTTTGTGACAAACTCTCAGGACTGGCAATTGATCGATCGACGACGACTAACTATTTTCATTTGCGGTGATCTCCATTTTTCATCCAACATTGTAGAATCAATTGAAATACTCAAGCGAGTTATCTCAATCTGAAATTCATGAACTCCGAAAGACTTTTGTGAGTAGCTACGTATCGAATTGCAACACATTTTGAAGGCGTTCGCCATTACGAGCTACGGGTGCAAACAATTTGCAGCTTTTAACTTTATTTCAATAATTTTTTCATGACATATTCGAATCAGTTTGGCTTACTGTATTCAGCAGTATCACGAGAAACGCTCTAGAACTCATACACAACAAAAATATAAGGAATAACAACCTTTCATATTGAAAGAAGCAATTCATGGACATTAGTATATATCAAAAATACGAAGTGTGGTTATTAATGGAACTGGGAAGCATATTGATTGGATAACTACACAGTTCCAATGCAACAATCAAGCCGACTGATTAATTCTTGAAAGGCATGATCAGCATACGCGATAGAGTTTCCCTTTTGGTATGTTCAGTTGTTCTTGCTAGCAATACTTGTATCTATGACTCACAAGAACATAAGTGTTAGCTTATGTGTAGACGTGGACAGATGAGTCATGTAAAAGAGATTAACCAGTTATCTTGATCTTCTCCGTTCTATTTCCGTTGGCATCAACAGAAAAGAAAAGTCATTGCCGTGATCTTGGCAAGAATGCAAAATGGACGGTTATCTGTGAGTTGATTTTCATCTATCTTAAAGCAAATGAATTGATAATATTTTTGTCACATATCTCGAAATCATACCTACAGAAAATTTGCTGTTTTTAATGTATCGATTATTGTCCACATGAATTGGTTCGCGAGATCGCATATTGTATTAGTTTATTTAAAGTTTGCATGTTTAGAAAAAAGATTAAGCTTTCTTCTGTTGAAATCAGCAACGATTACAATATTAAAAAATAATCCTTGTGGACAAAACTATGTATTTCAAGCGATTATTCACATCGGCAAACACCTTTAATCAAAACATTGACTGTTCTCTTGCCGTTGTTTTTATGTTTTCTTTGATGAGGCAAACGTGAGAAAAAAATTTGTTTATCTTCATTTTTTTTGTCATTTATTACTATCCGAGATCGAAAGCAGGTAGCTATGTGCGATGCTGACATTCGCCAAGGTAAGGCAGTAGTTTAAATTAAACAACTTTTCAAGTAAGCAAAAAATTTTCGATTTACGTCTTTATTGACTACGAACAGTTCATTTTAGTTGATATATGATAAAATTTAATTTATATTACATTATACACTGTTTTTTTAACCATATCAATGATTAATTTTATTTTTCTAGATAATATTTCAATCTAGTCGAATAACATGGTTTTATCCAAATTTGATGGTCTTCCAGCTGAATTAATTGTGGAAATAAGTGATTATCTAGATGGATGTGATCTATACTATGCATTTTATGGGCTAAGTCAACGTATTAACTCAATACTCGAGTAAATTATTATTTTTAAAGTTCAGCGTAAAATGTTTCTAAGTTCTCTTTAGTCGACAATGTCATCGACTTCGTGTACGCTTTGTACGTGTGTCGAAAACAAAATTCGATTTATATTGTAATCGTATTCTACCACGCATCAGTACTCGTACTGTCTCACTTACATTATCTGGTGATAATTCATCGACACCCGGGCAAGTTGCGCTATTCTTGTCTCGTTTTAATTCTTTAGCACATTTTTTTGTCAAACTTGAATCATTCAAATTAATTGATTATACTAAATCGGACGTAGAAATTCTTCTGCCTCATTTTCCGATGTTGACTAAACTTAAACGTTTGTCAATGGGAGAACACGAACGGTTGATGCCATTTTCTGTCGATTCAAATGAATTATTTAATGAAAGTGCGATATTGCCGATCTCATTACGCAGTTTAGCATTTCCATATGAAGTTACAAATCAATGGATTCAAACTTTGAGTACGACAACATCATTTATGATAGAACAAATGCATTGTCATCTTATTCATATGAATGTATTTCCTTTGTTTTTACAAAGATTTCCTAATTTGAAACGTTTAACCGCTGTTATAACAGGCATTACTCAAGATAATTTGCCCATGGCAAATATTGATTGTATGTTACATGGGTTAAGATATTTGAATATAAATATTGCACAACAAGTAAGGATATATGGTTTTTGTTTTATGCGAAGACATTTGAATATTGAAATTTTATGATGAATTTAAATTCATGTTTTTCTTTGCTCTAGGTTGCGTTCGATGATTTCGCTACAGTTCTGCGAAGTTTGACACATCTTCATTCGTTATCAATTGAAGCACTTACGCCTCGAGTAGAGTTTTTAGAAGCTCGTCGATGGGAAGCAGCTTTGCCGTCGAATCTTTCTTTATTTCGCTTTGATTTGACAATGACATTACCAGTGAATCCTGATCATGCTGAACTATTAGAACCATTCAAAAGTCAATTTTGGGTATCTCGAGGTTGGCTTGTTCAATGTCGTCTTCGAGATGGTGGTGGCTTTTTTCGTTTGTCTACTGTTCAATTGCCTATAATTAGTATTCTCTATTGGCCCGACGATGAAGAATTACTTGAATCAACAGTAACAGCTGTATATTCGAATGTTACTCATGTAGAACTTTGGTGGAATTTATCAAGAACAGCTCACGCAATTTGTCCTAATGTACGGTCAATTCAATTCTATGGTTCTGGTAATGATATAGAAGAGCCAATCCAAGAGAATATTCTCGAGATGCTACAGAATCCATCATTTGAACATATTATTATTAATGATAATATACCAATTAATCATACGAGATTTGCGTCGATTCTGAGTAAAGCTTCAGATAATATGTCGATATTGACTTGTTCAGGTGTTTGGTTAACGACCATGTTAGAATTTCAACAATACGAATGGATTTGTTTAATAGCAGCAATGCGTTTACGAAAGTTGATTGTAACCGATGGCTACTTTATTTTTTCTAATACGAGTTTAGTTGCTTTCTGTCGGACATTTATTAATCTACGAGAGATAACAATGAAAATGGAATCAAAAGAAGATTTATTTTTTCTATTAAACACTCTTGAAAACTTAACCATGGCTAATATTACATTGCCATCTACAGTTTTCGATGATATGACCGATTATAAAAAAATGATTGAAGAGAATACGATACTCGACAATTTTGTCGTTCGTCAGCAAACTACTTCAACAGATATTTGCAGATTACTTTTATGGATTGGTTCACGTCGTAATTTAAATCCACTACGAAGAAGCAGAGATCTTTATTTAAAATATTGGAATATCAATTGGCATACATAGTAGATTTTCTAGCTACTAACTAAACAATACTGACTGTGTGTGTCCCGTCAAGGGAAATTGAAATACTTTGTAAATTGATTCTAAGAAAAAGTTTTCGGAAATGCATCAAAACATTTCTATTTTTGCAAATCTCTATTTGAATAAATAGTTTTAGTTAACATGAAATTATAATCTATTTTTGAAATTTGTCTACAAATAGTTCCAATGTGTATATTGTTATATCAATACAGATGAAAATTTTCCAATCAAATACAAAAAGAAAAATTGTGAATACTGATCTTTCTAGGAAATATACCATGTGAGTTTCAGAATAAATAATATTAATCAATTCAAAATCGACGAAAAATAACTATACATTGTATTTTCTTTGTATTCCTTAAACAGGCATACCCAACAGCTTTGAATTGCAGTTAATCGACTTTTGTCGATAGCATGATAAAAAGAAAATATTGATTCGTAGCAGGTATGCTGCTAAAATATTTATCATATACTTTTAAGTTCGTCTTTCTATTTTATAGTCTTACCTTTCATGCAAAGTAACACAACTGATAAGAAAGACAAAGAGAAATAGAAATGAATACAAAACAAGGTTATATTTGAAGGAGTAAATGTGCAGTGTAGTGCTTCGTTGGCAATAGGAATACAGAAAAAGGAGCGCCCGAAGAATATCGCTTAAGTATATATTATAATGTAAGTTTCCTTATGTTGATTGTTTCATTAATTAAAACAATACTAGTATCGGATAGGATTGAGATTGGTGATATTCTTTTTTTAATTTTGAAAGGCATCCATCAAGATAGAAATGAAGCGGCGACGCACAGAGTATAAGGTAAAATCTAGGGCGAACGGTAAAAAGGGAATTTTCGAAGGCTCAGCATTTTTTCGGTAGTCGGAAATTGTTCTTATATTAATGAAGAGAAGTTATCTTTTGACATACGTTTATTCATACAACGAGAGTCTCATGAGAACATGTGTATATGAAACATGTAATACATGTTTTTGTCCTTTCAATATCAGTGGTTTTTATTGTTATTTCGATTTTCTGATTGGTTTATTCAATGACTAATGGACGGTTTCTTTTTTGTCTTGATAATTAATTCATCGTTTTATGTGTGGTATCTTCTTTTCATTTTTTGAGATTTCGTACTGATAAACAAGATGGAGTTTTTACGAAGTCTTCCATTCTCATCGATTGCTGGTGCTCTTGAGTATCAAGCTCAAGCACGGCCTGAGAAAACTGCTATACTCTATCCTGATCCGAGTAAAAATTCAAGAGAATATGCATCTCTCACGTATAGACAATACAATAATGTGGTCAATGATCTAGCTGATAAAATTTCAAAATATTTGCCATTTCCATCATCGGATGAATCAGTTACATGTGGTCTTCTAGCAGTTGGTGGTATAGAATATCTAGTATCACAATATGCATTATTGAAAGTTCCCAATGCTATTATGTTTCCAATATCGGCTAGAAATTCTCAAGCAGCCGTAGAACATCTACTGAGACAGAGTAAAACAGTTCTTTTAATAACTACACTTGTATATTTACCAATGGTGAAAATAATTCAAGAAAAAGAAGAATTTCAATTATTAAAAGTTATAGTTTGGGAACAGGATGAATTTAAAATTGAAGAATTCATAAAAAATAAAGATGTCGAACATCCTCTGATATCTGATGGCATCGTATCAAGCAAAAGCAAAGATGAAATACTTAATGAAGTAGTCGTCATTCTTCATAGGTAAGAGTGGATAAATTAATTTTTTGCTATTTGTTATTGTTTATTTACATTTATCTTTCAATATCTTTTTTTCTAGTTCTGGAAGTACAGCTTATCCGAAACCTATTCGCATAACAAATCGTTATTTTCTAATTAGTTTAGCTTTATATTTAGCGCTCGAAAAACATTTTTGGGCAGAAGACGATGTCGCATTGGTATGGGGAGCACTGTAAGATTGATTTTATGATCCATTTGGATAGAATGTTTATCTCGAATTTTCTTTTAGGTTTCACTTAATGGCATTTAATATGACAGTACGTGCTCTTCTAGTAGGATGTACATATGCGCTACCACTCTGTGTTACATTCCCACCAAAACCAGATGAATTATTACGAAATATACAAGTTAAAAATAACATAACGGTATTAGTTACAGTACCAAGTTTGCTTGAGCATCTTATACGAGAATTACTTTCAGAAGACAATAGTCATATTGGCTTAAAACCACTTGCGAAACTAAAATTTGTTATGTATGCTGGGGCTGGTTGTCCCGAAGCATTGTGTAGGACGTTAGTTGATAGCGGAGTTGTATTGGTCAGTGTTTATGGTGCGACCGGTGAGTTAATTTTCATAATGAAAAATTATTTTATTTAAAACTTGATTTGTTTTTGTATCGATATCAATATTATTTCTTTTTAAATTCTAGAAACCGGCATTATTCTTATAAAAAAGTATCGACCGTACGATAAGAAATGGAAATTCATGGAAATCCCGGATGTTCGAAAACCATTTCTTCGCATTGAAACACCACCAAATGCACAAAATCCAAATGAAAAAATTATCCTTCATTTACCAAATGATCCATTCCTAGCAGAAAATATTTCGAACTCTCTCGATGATTGTTATACTGTTGGTGATATACTACTTGAAGATCCACCTAATTCTGGTCAATATTTCATCTTAGGACGTCAAGATGATACTTTAGTTCATGTCAATGGCGAAAAAACAAATCCAATTCCAATGGAAGATATTATCCGTCATTCACCTCTTGTTCAACAAGTTGTGATTGTTGGTCATAATCAATTTTGCACAGTTGCATTGATTCAACTGAATATTGGTGAAGCATCGAATTATGATTTTCAAGAAATCGAAGAAAAAATATGGGCAGTTGTCGAACGAGCCAATACAGAGGCGCCATCTCATTCGCGTCTTGTTCGGCAACTTGTTAAAATTTTACCAATGAATAAAACTTTATCTGTGACAGAAAAGGGTAATTTGATGCGACAAAAAATTAATCAAGAATATGCAACATTAATTAGTACTATCTATGATAAATTTTTGAATCAACAATATCAAGTACAGCAAAAACATGGCACTACTCAGGAAAAAGAACAAAGAAAATGGACAGAAGAAAAAATAAAAAAATATCTTGAAGAAAAATTGAAATTACTTGATGAAAAAATCAATGATTTCTCACGGTCGATCTTTGATTTTGGTGTTAATTCTTTGCAAGTTGTAGAATTAAGAAATTTAATTTGTCAAGATATTTGTGAAGTACCAAAAAATTTCCTCTACGAAAATTCTTCCATTGAACACATGGCTTCTAAATTGTTCGAGTATGTTCAAGCTGAGAATGTTGAAAATCAACAAGCCGATCCGTATCACTATAAATTAACTGAACAAATTATTGATAAATATATTGATATGATGAAATCAGAGAAAATTACATCACATAAAGAAAAACCAAATGAAACAACTCAACGTGTTTTTCTTGTCACAGGCTCAAATGGATCTTTGGGAAGTTTTATTATTCGAGATTTACTTCAACAATCAGAATCGGCGGTTAAACGTGTCTATTGTCTTCTACGTGGTTCAAATACAAAGGAACGTATATTTCAATCTTTTGAACAACGACAACTAGATACTTCTCTCTTGACAAAAGCATGCGAACAACGATTGGTAATTTTATCACCATCAATGGATTTAAGTGAAGAACATTTAGGTCAAACAGATTCCATTTATCAAGAATTACAAAACGAAGTAACCGATATAATTCATACAGCATGGAAAATGAATTTCAATCAAACTGTCAAAGATTTTGAATATGATTCTATTTTCGGCGTTTATAATCTTTTAAAACTGGCAGCTTCGAATCATATGCAATTTCATTTTATTTCTAGTATAGCATCGGCTGCTTCTGGCTTATTGAGTTCTATTAGAGAAGAACCATTACCTAGAAAGTCAGAAATTGCACTGCCACAAGGATATGGACAAAGTAAATATGCTAGTGAACATTTATGTTGGGCAGCAATGAATTTATGGAGTAAAGTTTAAATTTTGTTTTGCAGAAGTTTACTTCTATTTCAAATTTTCTCTAGATGTTCCAGTTAATGTTTATCGTGTTGGTCAAGTTAGTGGTGATACACAAAATGGTGTATGGAATACAACAGAAATGGCTGCTATGATGATTTATGCTGGTGCTGGACAATTGAAGCAAATGCCAAATATTGGACACGATATTAATTGGATACCTGTTGATGTTTGTAGTGCTTCTTTAGTTGATTTGGCGTTAAAATCATCATTTGACCTATCAACACGGGCTGATCAACGTGTCTATCACCTTCTTAATCCACGTGTTATGTCATACGAAAATTATTTGAGTTTTCTTCAAGCAGCTGGCTTAGATTTTCATCCTGTCTCTCCAAAAGAATTCATGGACACAATCTTAACAGCAAAAGACTTAAGCAATCCACTTATTAAATTATCTTCATTTTTAGATCAAATCTTCAGTAAGAAAGATACATCCAAGTCATACAAATATGAAACTGTAAAAACAGTTGAAAGATGTGAAATTTTAAAAAATTGTCCAACAATCGATGCAAATTTAATTAAATTGTATTTGAATCATTGGAAAAAATGTCAAGTGTTAAAAGATTGAGAACAACACAAGTCATAGATAACAAAAAACACAAACTATATATTTTTTGCATTGATATCAATATATTTTTTCTTACTGCAAAGTTATAGTTATACAATTTTAATGGAGAAACTATTTTTGCGAATAACTTAAGATGTGAATCTGATTCTTTTCTTCACAACCAACTTCAGCCAAAATCAATAATAGAATCTTACGTGTAGATCTCATTGCATTCGATTCAGAGATTTCTTCGGTTCAAAATTCATGTGGGATTGCTGAAATTAGTCAAAACCATGGCTGACAAAAATGGAGTCCGTAGAAGTGAAATTTGCGTCATTGACTCTGTTACAGGAAATTGATCTGAGAAAAACATATTTCATCAATTTATGGAATTTAAATATTCTTGTTGCATAACTTTGGAATATTGATCTAGTGTATCAATTAAATCAATAGTTTCTAAAAAAAAACTAATTCAATAATCAATTATGTATAACATGTCAAATTTTTAACATAGTTTTTGTCTTGCAAATATTTCTATTTTCAATTTATTTCAAATATCAACGAGAGAATAAATTTCATACATAGCTGTAATTCGATCCATATGATCGAATTTTCGAAAAAGAAAAAGATCTATCTCTTACGCCTTCTACACACAATAGTCTGCAATTCTTGCATTACTTTCGATTCTGCAGCTTTTGCTGGTAATCGAATAGATTTTTCACGATGAGCAGCACTTTTCTCTTGACTAAATTTAATTCCGTTGACTTGTTCTTTAATTTGCCTTCCATTGATGGGCAAATCATAAAGAGTGCCGACTAGATCGAAAATGTTTTCAGGCTCGAGAACATCGGTCAGCTCGCCTGATTCTTGTGGTTCATCTATTGCTTTTTTGAACAGTTCAAAGTTGTTTGTAAATTCGTCCAATTGTTGTCGTAGTCCAGCAATTAGTTCTCGATTACTAGCGCCAGCATTCTGCTTCATTTGTTCTTCACGAATGAAGTATTGAAGGTATTCCACAATATCATTGTTGATGGAAACAATAGAATTTTTATGAAGAAATCTTGCAAGTTTTATATATACATCTCGAATTTTCGCGGCTTCTGCTCGTAATTCGCTAATACGTCGATCAATATCACTAAGCGACACATCTTGCCTATTGGATCTGCGTGTTCTTGCATTGGAATTTATATGAGTACGATTTGTTTGGTAGTCATAAGTGATATGCTTATGTTGCAACCAATGACAGTCACATACTGTACAGAAACCTGAATAAACCAAATATAATTTGTATATATATATATAGCCTGCATTAGATGAAATTTATTTTCCTTAGTGAACTAAAAATGATACGAAGATATCCTACGAATTCAGATATATTGCAGATGCGTTGCTTAGGCGAACTTTCGAATTTTTACTCTTCTATAAAATGTCGAACCAAAACTATTATCTTACTATATTCTACGTAGTAATGTATTTAATTATTCGCACTCTCTAGAACACTATCTGTAGTATTTTATTAATTTCCATGAGTTTACCGTCTTCAGGATTCATGGCCGTGCATTCTTCTAATTTGGGATCGTACAATGCTTCTTGTACGACACCGCTCAGGTAACATTCATTATGACATATGTGTAAGTATTCGACTTTTTTTTCATCTCCAATATCAATGATACGACAACACTTTTCACCCACGCATACAGTTCGTGGGTGTTTCAGTTGGACAACGAAAGCATTATTCTGTGGTATTCCTTCTGACGCATTTTCAGGGTTAATGAGAACTTTCTTTTTATGTTCTTGTGCGAGTTGAATATTTTCTTCGATAAGTTTTGCGGTTTCAGCAATTGGACGTGGAAGCTTCCGTATAAGTTGCTCAGCTTCATTCAACGAAAGTGTACTAGATACACCAAGAAGCGGAAGTGCAGCGACGTGTGCCATAAGACGACAGTATTCTTTGACAGAATGATCCCAGCTTTTAACATAGCTTGCCTTTTGTTCTTCATCCAATTTTATTCCATTTTTTATTATGGCTAGGTAACGAAATGGTTCACTATCGAATAAAAATGAATTGTCTCTTGAGAATGGCACTAGAACACCATGTTCCGTCTGATGTTCGTTCAACATTTTTTCGATCAGTCTCTTTGTGTTGCCTGGTGCAAAGAAAGTCGAACGAGCATTTGTGAATATAAAAATTAGATTTTCCTTAGCATCGACAGGCAGATGTCGAAGAAGTTCATTGACACAAAATCGAAAGTGTATAGTTAAGCGCTCTTCATTTGGTTTAAGCATTATACAAACGCCATTCAAATGTTCATATTGAGCAATATAAGTTAATATTTCTTGAAAGTTTTTCTTATCTTGCTCGAATCCTCTAGTGTCACCAACACCTGGCGTGTCGATCATACGTAGATTACGTTCACCAATCGGAAAAACGAAACTTCGACATAGTTGCGTATTTGATTCAACTTTGTCACCAAGCGTCTCTTGTTCGTTCTTGTCGCCAAAATGAATTAATTTTTCGTCAAACGACTCTGGCAAAGTAAAAGAAAACGAAGACGGAATGATAGCTTGAATTTCATCTTTGACTGCTTCTTCAAGAGTATCATTCACAATATAGTTAGCAAAAGCGTTAATAAAAGTTGTTTTTCCAACTCCTGTTGGTCCCAATAGTAGCAGATTGATTTCTCGTTCTGGAGGGCAATAAGAATTCGGCTCTAAATAATTCGATTCTCGCTTTGAATAGTTTCTGGCCATCTTGATTGCTACTATCTTATGTTAAATATACTGAAATGAAAGAATTATTCTAAAGAATACGCACTGAAATACTCAGAATATAGCATTCTATACTAAGCATGGCTGTTTTGCACAACATATTTCGTTGTTGACTGTTTTTTCTCTACATCACATACCTTTATGATAGCATGCATAACAGTCCGTTAGAAGATTGGTAACATGATGTTGATTTTATGTTCTTTACTTTGTATTCTTAGTAAAAGTGCACGACGGAAGAAAGAGAACGCACATCAACAACACAGCATGCAGTTATTGTGAATTCTGTTTTTTTTCTAGTGCTTAAGTTGAAATTTGTCGTTTGAAATTCGCTGTTGACAAATGTACGAATTGGCTAGCGTAATCAATTAGAAAATAACTTGACTCATAGAATTTCAGAACGTCAGCAATAAAACTCATGCTTGCGTTTATTAGACAATTTTTTTTCTAAAACTTGTTGCAATGAAGTGTAAGGCATATAAATATATATGTGTGTGTGTGTGTGTGCGAATGTAATGAATTTTGACATACTGTTGATGCAACAGAAGAAATAAAACTGAGACACACGAAAAAACGCATATGGTAATCATTATTTTTTTCATTGTGCTTTTAACAGTAGGTAAATATTAAAAAAAGCAAAAGTGGGGATAGATTTTTTTCCAACTGGCATTTTAAGGTATCACGGACTCGAAAAACTGCATAGATATTTAATAGAAAAAATAAATGCGGAAACATCGGATTTGCATCCGATTGTTATGTGTACTGCAAAAACTGAGTCGATTTATATATGTTGTGAATAATACTGAGAAAAAAATCCCTGTACCCTCTCAGGGATGGTCTGGTCAATAATGACAATTTTTTCGATAACTCAGGCATTTCTTAACGAATCCCTCTCATCTTCGAACTCGACTGAGATATTGATGAGATCATTCTGTGTACAAAATTTCATGGCAATCGGATCAGCCTTTCAGGAGCTATCGTGTAAACGGCTGGACACACTGACCGATTCTATAGTGTACTCACTTTTGTTTTATGAGTACACAAAAAATACTTACTACGTCCGAACCAGAGGTGTCCACAGGGCCAATTTTATTGCCCTACCCTGCCCTGTCAGGGCAAAATCATTTTCAAATAATTTGTGCCCTGCCCTGTCCTGTCATTTTGGCACCGTGGCCCTGCCCTGCTAATTAAGAAGAATTTTTTTCATATTTAAATTCAAGTTTAAGTAATCCTTTTTATTTGAAAAATAGTTCAGCAAATAGATAAATGATCAGCAAATAATAAATCAGCGCTAATTGAAAAAGTGTATATGATGATATTGCATCATCACTGATGATTCATCAGTAGATCGACTTGTCCACGTAACCCGCTATTTCGCTGATCCAGTTTTAAAAATGTTTTGTTTCGATATTAATAGATCTCAGCGTATTTTCTGGTACAATTTTTTTACACTGGTTGTGAATTTGGACTTTTTTTCTTCAAAAAAAATTGGGTTTGGCATCGAAAATTAAGTTTTCATAAATTGTATTTTCAATTTTGTAACCAGAAAATTTAAAACGAAAATGCAGAGTAATATTGTTACAGTCATATGTTTATTCCTTGACTCATCGACGTTTGTATACTCATTCCCTGACACATATTCCCCCTATATATACTCCTCTTTCTTCAATGATAAAGTTAGTTCCATCGTTATGGTACTCATTCGCTATTAACATCAAGAAGGCACAGGGATCTCTAATAAATATACCATTCGATGCAAAATTAGATTCTTTACAAAGTGCCCTGTTAATTGTTTACTCACATTCTTCAGGACAACTTCTGAGCGCTTGTACAGTTTTTAACTTACTATACAATTATTGAGCTCGTATTTTGGATGTAGCAACTAGATTTTTTTACAGAAGGATATGCATGGCAGTGGTCAACATATAAACATTGAATATTTTTAAGCATGTTAAGTGCTTCAAATTCGGTCGACAAAAAAACGTGTCACAGCGTTATGTTTGGTTTTTGCATTTTTAGTCTGAGCGAAAGTAGTTTAGAAAAAATAATTTTTACTGCTTGAAAGCCCATTCAATTCTCTACAAAAACGGTACCATAGGCATTTCATTTGAAGAAATGATTTGGCAAGAAATTAGAGCGTTAAAAGCAAACCTAGAAAAAAGGGTCCTTTTTTGTCAGTGTTACGCGATAATAAAACCTTTCTAGAAGCGCGAGAATTCAGTCGAAATAGGCCACTCTTTCAACATTAATAGATTATGATACGCTGCGTCGTTTGACGTTTGAACGACCTTATTAGCTCTTATACCTTTCGAGATAATTGCAAAACTATTTGTCAAAATATCACAGCATTACATTTGTGCAAGGCGAGATATATTTAACGAAGACAGAATAAAAACTTCATTTTCATCACCAGAAAAGATAGATGAAATATCAGCACATGAATCTATCGATGATGATAGCGATGCATAGTTTTATTGAAATAATAAGAACATCAGCAACTATTACAATTATATTTTAAGTATATGTGCACTATTATCACTATTATGATTAATTTATTATTTTCTTTTGTTTTCTTACAAACTTGATTGGACCTTATACGGTCATCATACAAACAAAAATATAACAATCTACTTACTATTCTATAGCGATATCTGGATAGTTTTAGTTTCTTTCACGTTCCCGAGAAGAATAAAATTGCTGTTATTTTCGAACTAAAGTAAGTATATGCAAAATTTGCAGGTCGTGGAGGTATAGCCCTGCCCTGTGGACACCTCTGCTCCAAATTGCTTTTTCAATTTTTTCATAATGCATTATCGGTTTGTTTTAATTCTTCAACCTTTGTGTTAGAAGAGAAAAATATTCAATTTGCTGCATTCAAATCATTAAATATTTTAAGAAAATTAAATACTACTAGAGACCCCTGTGAAGGGTTGAACTCAAAGGGGAGAAAGCGAGACTCCTGGAGTACGTACTTCCCTGTACTTCCACTGCACTCCCTCTGTACTTCCACTATACACCCCTGTGCTCTCCCTGCACTCCCCTGTACTTTCACTGCACTCCCTCTGTACTTCCACTGCACTTCCACTGTACTAGCATTGTACTGTGGGACTACGGGAGTCTCGTCTCCCCCCTTGGTTGAACTTTAATATTACCGGAAAATTTTCATATTATAGGAGAAATTGATTTAATTTACATAAGAAGAAAGTTCCTGAATGTAAAATATAATATAGATGACTGGTATATATATGCATAACGAATGAACATACAGGACGTATATACATAATGAACGGGCGCATATGACGCACATATATATGTATACTTTTTTTTCCGTTCTGTGACCAATCATATGAAAGTTCCCAGAGAAATGAAGAAACACTTGTACATTATACTATAGATAATGTATTACTTTCTTATTCAAGATACTTTTATGTTATGAACTTGCCTAATATGAAAGATGAAACTAAATCATTGAACTTCTATTAATTAATTGGAAAATATAGATTGATAAAAAGGAAATATAATTCATAATAGAATAATTGTTGGACAATTATATTTCTATAGAGTTACATTGATATCGTCGTTATATGTTATCTCGATCTAAAACATTAGTTTTTGTCAATTCTATTATCAGTACTATTGTTAATTCCGACAAAATTTTCCTGTTTTCTTCGACGAGAAAACTTCCAAGCGATGTTTTCTTTTCGAAATATCTTATTCCACAGATGAATATGTCAAATAGTATACAAAAAGATATCTTAAAGTCATATACTTCAAATTCGTGTTTTTGCTCCAAAGTCAATTATTTTATTGAATGATTTACTCACATATTTAAGGATATTTTGAGTAAATCTTGAATTAAAGAACTTTAGTGTAAAATATAATTCACAAATAAATATTATAATCTTCATAAGACTTAGAAATAAATTCATCTTTTTTTCTTTAATATAATTAGTATTTTGGAAAAAAATTGTATGTAAAATATATTATCAAATACGTTGCTTTCCTCTAAACGACACGTATCAATCGAGAACACCTGCAAAAGCGGATTGCGCAAAACTACATCAACATAACATAACAAACAAGCAAAAACAAATTACAGTAAAACATTTTTTACAAGAAAAAGTCCCGCGTCAAATCATATAGAGCATAATTAACAAGTACGAAGATTCTGGCCAGTGTTTCTAACAGCAGGTGTGCACAGCAAACACAAAATGTACGAAACACCTGCTGTCTGCGAAATACACTTTGCTTTTTGCTGGGAAAAGATGGGAAAATGTTCAAAATATATAGGTAAACAGTGGATATACACTTTGCTCCGAATTTCTATTAGAAACACTGATTCTGGCTATGTTGGTGACAAACCAAGATCTGGTTGTCCAAAGAAATTGTCTCGTGGGAAATTAATAAGACTCAAACGTCTTGTTAATAAAAAGACAGGAATTTCTTCGAGGCGATTAGCGCCATAATTTAAAGTTAGTTATCAAGCAATCTCTAATCATTTGAAAGCAATGGGCATCCGGTACTATAAAAAAATAACGAGCACCAAAACATACGGATCAGCAGCTCGAAGAAATCGCGACTCGTGCACGTCGATTATATCGCATATTGTCAAACAACGATTTTGATTTAGTAATGGATGATGAAAAATATTTTCTATTACAAGATAAATCTGGACCAACTAACCGTGGACTTTACACTTCTGATAAACGTACTACACCATCACAAATCAAATTTAAAAGAGCCCAGAAATTTGAACCGAAAATATTAGTTTGGATTGCAATATCTGAAAATGGAATTTCGAAATCGTTTGTTTTTGCAAAACAAAAGCAAGCTGTTAATCCAATAACTTATTTGGATAACTATATTGTAGCACGCTTAATGCCATTTATTACAAGCCATCAAAAAAAGGAAAACGTATTGTTTTGGCCTGATTTAGCTTCAAGTCATTATGGTCACAATGTCGTGCAGTATTTGGATGAATATATATGTTCTTTCATTTGATATAAGAGATAAAAAAATAAAAGCTTCATATTGAAGAAGAAGAAGAAGAAGAAGAATGAAACGAATTTTGTACGAAGACTTTTTTGACATAGGTTATTTAGTGTAATTTTTCAAAGGAAATACTGTTACAGATGAGATACAACAGAACAACTTTGAGAGTAAAAATGTAAAGAAAAAAAATTCCACTGGGTGTTAATAATGAGAAAAAATTTCAAAAAAAAGTCAGATCATTTTCTCGAGTAATATCCTGATAGTTCACATTAAATAGTAAGTGTAAATTTCGTTAAATAGTTGTTCGATTGAATTATTCGTATTAATGAGATAATACCATCGTTACAGCAATCAATGACGTTTCAAAGTTTATGGATTCTTTGTTCGTGTAGTTGCATTATCGAAAGATGTAACTACATTATTTTTAAATATTTTATTCGACACTACTTGTCGAAGTTCACGATCCAGTGCAATCGTACATATCTTTTCAATAGATACTGCCAATGTAAATGTAACAATGCCAACTAAATAAAATAGAGATATTTCAAAAATAATAAAAATCAGAGTTGGAATACCACCGGTGATATAAATTGCCAAAACAATAACGATATTACGAAAAACTTCAAGATCACGTTTATCGTTTGTTGTATTAAGAACCATTTCAGCACGCTTGCTTGCTTTTTTAATTCGTTTATAGATATAAATATAAATGACAATAATAGAAAATATTGGTACGAAGTAGTAGGCAAATACAGTATATCCTACATGAATTGTGGCTTGGAGCGGTACCCAACAAAGAAGGCCCGGACGGAAATAAATATCTTTTGTTATAACTGACGGCAAAGGTATAATGAACACAATAATCCAATGAATGAGAATTAAATAATAATGTGTTTTGAATGTCAACAACCAAGGGTATTTTGTTGAGAATTTCGAGAAGAACAGACGTGATACTGCTTGCATAAGATAAGAATAGGTCACTGCAGAAACCGACATGTAACTAAAATAGCCTCGCCATTGACATAATACATTACTTGTTTCCCATGGGATAAAAATGAGGAAAATATAATTGATGGTTTGCACGATACAATAAATAACCGATGCAATACATGTATTACACATTAGCAAATGTCGAACTGTATGTAAACGACGTTTTGAACATCTTACTATGATCATAATCATCATAGAAATCATAACAGATAACAGACCAAAGCTTGCAGATAATGAGCAGCCAATATAATATTCTTTCATATCGGATACTGCGGAATTTTCCTTTGTTGAATTCATGTTTTGAAGAAGAAAAGTCAGTTTGCTTGAATGTGACTTGTTATCTGTTTTAATGACACAACAAGAATGGCGGAAAGAAAATAACAAGTTTTTTTAACTTATTTTTTTAATCTCTAACGGAGTGCTCATGGGATTAGATTATAAAAATAGAAGTTTTTGAAGCGAGAGGCAGTAATTTGATAGTTAAGCATACTAGACAAACAAGAATGACTGATTGAAGATATTCATTTGGGCTTTGAAATCATGAATTAACTGTTTTAAAGAAATGAATGGTGAAAAAATTAGTTTCCGTTAGGGTATGGAGTGCTGTGATTTACGCATTTCCTGTCGAATAGAATCTTTAATTTTGTATCCATTTCAATAAATAGATATTGATTTTAAATATTTCATTAGCAAGTTTTTGTTTTCCAAATAATGTTTAGCGAATATACTAGCTGCGATTCCTTTTGTTTTCCCGATAGCCTAAACCCCTCCCTATAATAGAAGACCCCCTCATATTACAAGACCCCCTATATTAGAAGACCCCTTTCAGCAAAAAGTTTAAAAGGCGTATTACAAGACCCCTTTTAATTAGTTAATAAACTAGTATAATTAATATTTTAATTAGTAAATTTCCTTAAAATTAAGCATAATTTCGGGTTTTTTTGATTGTAACTGTTGTACAAACAAGGTGTACATCACTACTGCACTTTGAAAACACAAAAAATCTCTTCATAAAACTAAAAGGCTTTTTGGAAAACTTTTTTAATTAAAAATTACGAAAATTAGTGGACATAATAGAAGCCCCTTTGAAAACTTTTTACCCTTGGACGTAATAGAAGACCCGGGGTCTTTTATTACTGGGAGGGGTGTGATGGCAGCATTGCCTTTGTATCTTATTTTGATGCTTGTTGTATATGTATACACATCTAAATATGTGCTTGTTTTACTAATTTAATTTTCTTGTTTCTTTTTGCGCGCTCATTCAGAGTAGTGTGCGTTACTTCAAATAAAAAACACTTCTTGATCTTTTAAAAATAAACTCAACCTATACTCAATCTTTACTTTTACAAACAATCTTGCCATCTACCAAATAAATTATTGTGGCGCCTGGCCCTTATACTAGTTGCGTCTTATGTGTACTCAGCGACGTGACAAGGGGTTTAGTCAATTTTCCCTAGAAGAATCTTCAGGGAGTCCCCATGGATTTCGTTATCCCAGGAGAATGGCGGTCCATCGGATCTTGTCGGACGGCTTTTAAATCCGTTCATACCCGGTCATCGGATCCGGTCGGGACGTTTCTGCCAGAATCCGATCATATTCGTCATTTTTCTTTCATATTCTGTTACCGGATTCCATCCATTCCGACCGGACTCATGTAGCCAGAACCTATCGGATCCGATGTCCGGATCTCGCCAGATCTGACGTGATTCGGGATTATCTGGTACCAAGAATCGAGCGGAATTAATCATTCGAGATGATCCCAAAATCCAATTAACATTAGTACGTTGGATCCGATCGGAAACAAATAGCACAAATCGGACTTGTGTTAAAATCCTTGTAACAGAATTCCGACTGCCGGATCCGATCGAATTCCCAGGATTTTTATCGGATCTTGATAAGATTTGTTGATCAAACGAAATTCGATCGATATAGAATCAAAATCCGGTGAAAGGATCTTTTCTTTTGAAATCTCATCACAAGCTTCCTCGAATACTGGTATCAGAGTGTGGTGGATTATATAAGTATCAAGAAGGTTCATTCACCGCATTTTATCACGCTTCATATTACAGATCCAATGAGAGTCACTATTACT